ACTTAGAGCTCAGCCTTCTTTGGATGATGTTTGATACAAGACACCTGGCACACTTCTATCTCACAACTCTCATCAGCAATTTCAACAAGTCTGAACGTCTTGGACCTGTCGCAATATTAACAATCCGTTCTGTCCATTTATAAAAGGAGATTCTATGCTTGCTTGCATTTCTAGAGATCCCAATTGCAAGTCTCAAGTAAAGCACACCGGCTACTTGTTTCTCTAACCATATAAATGGGGTTTCTCATGCCAGTCAAACTGCATACATCTGAGTTTCGCAGTCTTCTGTCTTCTAGAGAACAACATTTCTTAGTGGGTGGCTACTGACTCTTGCTCGCATATTTGTACCATTTTCTCTTTTCCTTCTACATACTATCCTCCTCCTTTGGTCATGGCTAGCGAGAATGATTCAAGTCTGACCAATGAAAGTGTTCTGGCCACTGCCAGTGGTGGGCGGGCTCTCCGTGGTTTCAAAGTGAGTGGCAAAGAGCCTGGGCCAGTGCTTAGCACGCACGTCCTTCAGGTCCCCAGCAATATAGCAATCAGGGGGCCGGTGGATCCACAGAAGACCGAGACGTTGAAGTTCTCCAGCATTGAGGATTACAATACATTTCAAGAGAAGCTCGGCACTCAAGGATGGACTCTTGCGACAAAGGTCGGGGTGAGTTTGGGTAAATTGACCATGAAGCTGCAGGGTGATTACTCCGAAGAGGAGAAGGAGAAACACAAGAAAGAAATGCACAAAAAAGTTCGCACGGTCATCGTCACTGAGTCTTTGTATGTCCCCATGAAGTGCTTTCAGATCCCTCAACTCCAAATGACCCTGACTGATGAAGCCAAGGCAGATGCTCGACGTGTTACCGGCGCTACTGAGGCGACATCTTTCTTGGAGAAATACAGCTCTCATGTGTATGCCGGTTTGTACCATGTTGGTGGCGTGCTCTTTAGGGAGGTGAACGTCACCAGCAGCCATGAGACCAATGCATGCTTGCTGATGCGCAGAGGATTACGCAAGCTGGAAATCTCAGCTGAAGCTAGTTACAGCTCGCCATTTTTCGATGGCAAAGCTGAGGGTAAGTTTTCACAAATCTCTGATACCGAGTCCTACGAGTTTGCCAACTCGAGCCTTCAGTTTGAAACATCGAAAGTAACAGTCCGTGTTTGGGGAGCAACATCAGTCGAGGCCAAGGACGAATTTCTGAAGAAGCTGGATGCTGATCATGCTGCATGGGCCATCATTGACAAGGATATCGACCAGCTGAAAGATCTGGTGGGTATTTGGGAGCTCATGGCAATCGACAGAGATCTGAAGAAGCCCGCATTGGAGATCTGCAAACAATGGCACACAACATCAAGTGGAGAAGTTGCAGAACTTGCATCTTCAAAAAGTGACGAGGACAAAAACAGAAGCAAATGGTTGCAGTCACTATTGGATAGGGGCAAGGCTTTTCAGGATACTATACAGAAAGAAATCAACCAGTCGAACTCCAGTACAGGAGATAACAAGTAAACATTAACACAAAAAGGCAAAAAGGTAAAAGAAAAAAGAAAAAATATATAAAAGAAAAAGAGAAAAAGAAAGAAAGTAATAACTATATAAACCAATATTTAAATATAATATATGAATGTATAAAATGCTGAGACTACTGGACAGAGAAAATTGGGGGCAACTCTGGACGCCTCCATGCGTAAATGTCAGGCTTTTCTTGTTTGGAAGCCATCGCCAGAAAGAGAGAGATGCATGGCAAAATTTCTTTCATCAACCTCGCCCACAGTAAAAAGTTGCCAAAAGCAAAAATTTGACCTGATCACTCCAACAGCAACATCGAAACCTGGTGGCGGCAGCAGACGAGCCTTTGCTCACCCTCGTTGGTTACCGTTTCCTATTGCAAAGGAGCTGGTAGATGATGCAATCAACGGGCGTCGCCTGAGGCACGTATTGCTCTTTGGAGGTCCGGAACTCTGGCCCAGAGAAACAACACCAGAACGCATACAATGAGTATCCCTAGAAAATTCCCGATCAAGTCCAAGTCAACGGTCGTAAAGATCGATTTGATGTAGAGATTGCTCATCTGATCTATAATCATTCAAAACAAAAGACGCACGAAGTCGCAGATCTTTCGCCGAGCCTTGCATTCCGCGCCCGTTGTTTTGAATGCGCAAGGCTCGGGGAAAGATGATCCGCAGATCATCGGGCGTGGAATGCAAGGCTCATCGGCAGATAGCTTGAAAGATCACAGAGCTGGTCCAAGAATATCAGTTGCTACGATTACAAAACAAAACAGTGAGATTGCCAGAGGCAAGAAAATAACAAATAAGAAAAACATGGCTACAGAATGTTTTCATCATCGCCTTGGTTGACATCTCGATGTTCTCCAGAGTCAATCATTTGCTCGGGATGTTTCTGAGCAATCATCTTCTGCCCAGATCTGCGCTCGAAGCGTTTAATCCACATATCTGACGTAGATCTATGTCTGATATATCTACAGCAGAAACAAGCGACAGGAAAAAAAATTACGACATACCTCACTAAGCAGTGAATGTTATTGTTGAAGCCTCCGGCATGCATGTCGTCCTAGACGCTAGACGTCATGAGAGTCCCATAAAGACTCTGGAGAACTTGCCACCAGACTCCACAGCAAAAGGGACCGAGATGCTGCGCTGAAGAGCTTGACCGAGTTTGAGACGCTCATGAACTTCTCGCTCCAAGCCGGCCATATCTTGAGCTTCCAATGCCTCCTCGCCGAAGCGGCCTCGCAAGTCCTCGAATCAAGCGCACCTTTGCTGGCTTCACTCGTCTCGGACTTTGCAAGGCGCGCACCGCCATCTTTTCCGGAGAAGCCAGCAGTATCAAAGGTGAAGATGCTAGCATGCCAGTTTGGAGCAAGCGAAGACCAGGACTCAAAGGTCGTCCAGTCCATTCTCTTGAACTTGGGAGGAGCTGGCGATTCTACCTGGGCACTCGTTCCATACTCCAATTCCATAGAGGTTTTTGTCCAACTCTAAACTTCGAGCGAATGCATTGACACTAAGTTCCACTTATTTCAATGTGCTTGACTTACAAACAAAGCCTTCGAACTTCAAGGATCATAAACATAAGCATGGAGAGTGAGCCACCTCTCCTCTCCCTCACATGACTCCAGGAGCTTATCTCGACCACATTCGTGGGCCGCCTGGTAGAGCTCGGCATGGCTACCCTCGAGAAGACTCTCCACGCTGTCCGAGAATATCACACCTCCTGTGTCGCGCGCAAGCCTCCCAGCCTCCAGCAGTGCACGCCTCGCCAGCTTGTCTCCCACCTCCATGTCTGTCTTGCTCGCCGCGAGTCTCTCCTCCAATTTCTCGAGCGCTTGCTCCCCCACGCGGACTTCTTCCTCCAGCTCGGAAACTCTCTGATGAAGAGCCTCCAGATCGACCGGCGTTGGATCCTCTACAACCGGTGGATGGTCGTGTGCCTTGGTGACCAGCTCCAAGACCCTCTCCTCGCATTCCTGGTCGATCTTTGCAAGCGCGAGCTGCCTCTCCGCCTTGGCAAGATCCTTGGCCAGGAAGTGCTGCTTGGTCGTGACCAGAAGGACGTTTCGATCATCCAGCTCCCACTTCCCTGCAGCGCAAGCAAACGCATGTAAGTCATCCGGAGAAACCAGCACCTTGGAAGCGATCGCCGCCTTGGCAGCCTCGAGGCATTTCTCCCGATTGCTGTCCTCGATGCCAAGATCGACCGCCAGCGCCGGATCCACATACTGCACCTTGTACATGGCGCCATCGAAGACGAATTCCATCGTGAGAGCCGAATCGCCAAATGCCGCTGTGACGACCACCATCTCGGCGAGAGCCCGATCTATCAAAACCCTGGAAGTTTAGACACGATATAAAAGAAAGCTCCCGGCGAATATCAGGAAGATCGATCTGCCTGGGAAAGATAGAAATCTGTGAGAACGCAAGCTCAAACGAAAGACCACCATCACTCACATTAGCATCCACAGCTCCAAAGATCACAGACGATGGCCGCTGCTCGTAGAGGGTGGTAAAGAGCTCGCTCCACACGCGGCGGCCACAAACCGCCCCGGCCTCGTCCAAGATCGGGAACTCCTTGACCGCGTCGTTAAGATCTTGCACGTCCTTGCCGCTCTGGCACAGGAACTCCAGCGATCGATTGTCCAGGCCAATGCGATCGCGCTGCTGGCGTCCCATTGCCTCGCGGAAGAAGTAGTCCCAGCTCATTCCTCGAGTGTAAGGCTTGCCGCTCTTCTCCACCGCCTTGTTCCTCGCCATCTCCAGAAGTATCCGCCTCCTCACTAGCCGTGCGCGCTTCACATAGGCCTCCATTCCGCCCAGCGCGAGCTCCTTGTCCGTGCGATCCAACTCGATCTGGGCCTTCTGCGCTTCCAGCCGGGCCACCATCTCCTCGAGATCCTGGCGCCGCGCTAGCTCCCTCTTCCTTGCCATGGATCGCCTGGCCTTGGCGCTCGGGTGCTTCTTGGTGCTTGGCTGCTTCTTGGCATTGGCGATCTGGGCCTGGATCTTCGTCCTGGCGTCCTCCACGACACCAAAATCCACCCTGAGCGATTCCGCCCTTGCGGCAAGCGAGCTGCGCCGATCTTTCCCCAAGACCACCACCGTGAATCTCTCGGGCAGCGGCCGATCGTGATCTTGGAGATCGAGCATCTGGAATCTTGCCGACACGAGCTCCTGGCCCTGCATGTTGCTCGACAGCACTTGAAGGCCTCCATCCTCCACGCCCTGGTGAGAAGGCGCAATCTTACTACAGTCGAAGCTCGCATTGGAGAATCCCCATTCCTCCGCCATGGCCGCAGAGCTTGCTTCTTGATTCCCAGCGTGAACTCAAATTCCCGGAGTTATCCCTAGAATATGCTACGTAGATCGTAGCTGTCCAACAATTTGCCCTAAAATATGCTAAGTAGATCATAGCCGTCCATCTATTTGAAAATCTCCAGAATATGCTAAGTAGATTGTAACCGTCCAAGAACTGACCTAGATTATACTAAGTAGATCGTAGCCGTGTAATTTGAAAAGAGACGGGACAAGAAGAAAGAGAGAATGACAATCTCGGAGACGAAGAGAAAAGCGCACTACTCTGGAATGTCCTCTCGATCTCCAGCATCGTCGCTTGGACCCTGGGCTCCGCGCTCCTTCTTCTTCTTGATCCCGCTCACCACATCATCGATCCGGAGCAGCATTGTCGCAGCCTCAATCGCGCTCTTGATCACCTGTGCCTTGACACCAAACGCGTCCCACACCCCGGCCTCCCTCATGTCCGCGATCTTCCCGCTCCGCCCCTCGATCCCAAAGCTACAAGCCTCGCGCTTCTCGCAAGCCTCGGCGTGCCTGGCTTGCAGCTCGGTCATGGTTCGTATCATCGCCACCCCGCAGTTCTGCGCCAGCGTTCTCGGGATCACCTCCAAGGCCTGCGCCGCCGCCCTGTAAGCCCACTGCTCGATCCCTTCCACGCTGCAAGCCTTCGACTTGAGCGCCGCGGACACGGCCATCTCGCACGCGCCGCCGCCGGCAACCATCTTCCCGTGATCCCGGATGGTGTTCCTCACAACACACATTGCGTCGTGGAGATTTCTCTCCACCTCGTTGAGGATGTCCTGGCTAGCGCCGCGGAGGAGCACCGTGCACGCTCTCGGCTCCTGGCACTGGATCAAAAACGCGAAGAACTCATCGCCAATCTTGCGGACCTCGAACAGCCCGGCCCCGGTTCCCACGTGGCGCTCCTGGAGCTCCTCTGGCCGGTTGACAATCGTTGCCCCGCAAGCCCGAGCGATCCGGTTGGTGTCCGTCTTTCTCACTCGCCGGATCGCACTCACCCCGGCCTTGCTCAGGTGGTGGCACGCCAGATCGCTCAGGCCCTTCTCGGTGATGACGAGATCTGGCTTGAGCGTGAGGATGTGCTTGCAAGCTTCCTCCACAAACTCCTCTTCCAGCTTGAGCAGGATGCTCCAGTCCTCCTCCTCCATCACCTCGACGTTGGTCGCGTTCTCGCCTTTCTTGTACTCGAGCGGGCAGTCGAGGAGAACAACTCGCGGGTTTGTGATCTTCCTGCGCATTCTCCCTGGAGCTACGACGTCCTTGTTGATCATCACGCCTCGCAGCACCGCGGAGTCCTCCAGCCTCCCCCCCGCCACCTTCTCGATCTTCACGTACTTCTTCACGTCGATCTCCTTGCTTCCATTGCCGAGATCCACCGCCACCGTCTTCACGGCGTCGATGGCCATGTCCGCCACGAGATCGCCAAGCGCGCCAGTGAACTTGCCACCCAGGCAGCTCCTCACGATCCCCTGGAGCGCGGCATGGTCCTCCACGTCCATCGAGAACGCGGCCGACTCGAGCGCCCCGAGAGAATCCTCCAGCGCCCTCGCGAATCCGCGGCACACTATGCTTGGATGGAATGCACGGAGCGCGACGAGGGGCTCGGCAGCGCGGAGCATCTCTGCCGCGAGGACGATGACCGACGTGGTGCCATCGCCAGCCTCCTCCTCCTGCGCGCGGCTGAGCTCCACCATGGCCTTGGCGGCGGGGTGCTGGACGTCCAGGTCGCGGAGGATCGAATTGCCATCATTGGTGACCACGATACCTGATCCCGCGGCGTCCAGCAGCATCTTGTGCATGGATCGCGGCCCCAGCGTCGTGCGGATGATCTCCGCGCCTGCTGTGGCGGCCGCGATCATCCCCTGGAGGACGCTCCGCCCGCTCTCGCGCTTGATCGCATCGTTGAGCACCACCACCGTCATTGTCGCCACAAAAACCCTAACTAAACCCTAGAAAGCTTTGGGGAGAAAATTTATCACATTATCTTACATTTACTTAGACAAGGTATACAAGCCGTGGTAATTGGTGCCACTGTTCTTCCACCACACGCTCTCGACGTTGTCAAGCCACGTCTGGCAGAGATGGTCTTGATAATCGAATGAGATTTTCTTGATCCATTCCTCCATGTCGCCAATTTCGTCACCAATGTTGTGATCATTTCTTCTTGATGTTGCGATCATCCTCCTCGTTTCATCTTTGAAGAATTGCATGCTCCAGAAGCCCTCTTCACTGAGAATCTCGTCCTCATCACGGCTTTCCTGGCTGCCAATCCAGATCTCGTCACCCTCTATCAAACACGTTTGATGAAGCTCTTTGTCGATCGAGTCGCTTGACGTGGTCTCGCACGATTCAGAGTTGGGCGAGATGGCCGCGAGGCGCTTTGTGAGACCCAGATCCTCATCGTCGCAAGACGATCTTCGTCTCTTCTTTGTTGGCGACGTTTCGATGCTACGCGATCGATCAATCTCATCCTGGGCAAGCTTGGTTTGGATCTTGTTCGTCTCCATGATCGACATAGTGCTCGCCTTGTGGTCAGTCACTGGATTTTCGCTTCTGCAAATCCACGATCTAGAAAAGGAGAAAAATGAGATAACCTAAGATCCAAGTTTTCCTTTTAAGAGAAAGCACGACATTTGCGTGACGTTAAAGAAAGGAAACCACGTCGCCCTAAAACTAAAAGGATTGTCCCACGTGGTCGACAAGTATTCGTCCACGTCATACACATCCACTTTGCCCCAAAGCGATCCATCCACTTTGCCCTAAATGATGGAAGCTTCGTGATCATGCCCACTCCATGTCAGAGCTGCGCGAGTTCATCACAATCCTCCAATCGTGCTCGAGAAGGCGAGATCTCCCACAGGGCCAGCGCGTCCACGCGCAAATCCTCGCCAGCGATCGCCACCGCGGCGACCCTCTCCTCGCCAATCTCCTCATCCAGATGTATGGCAAATGCCGCGCCCTGGACGAGGCGCGCGCCCTCTTCGATTCCATTGCTCGCCCCAACATCTTCTCCTGGAACACCATGATCTCCGTCTACACCCACAACGGATCCCTGGCCGCCGCCAAGGAGATCTTCGATCGAATGGGCAAGCGCGACATAATCTCCTGGAACGCGATGCTTGCAGCGTACGCCCAGCTGGGCGATCTGCGCGACGCCCAAGACTGCTTCGATCGCATGCCGCGCTGGAACATCGTGTCCTGGACATCCATCCTCCAGGCATACGCGGCACAGGGATCCATCGACGACGCCAAGAACACCTTCGATTCCATGCCTGAGAGAAACATCCTCTCCTGCTCAGTCATGATCACTGCGCTCGCCACCGCCGATCTCCTCCACCTCGCCAAGACCCTCTTCGATCGCGTCCCGGAGTGGAACACCGTCTCCTCCACCTCCATGATCCAGGCATTCGCCGCCAGAGGCCTCTTCCACGAGGCTCGCCACATCTTCGACCGCCTGCCACAGCAAGATCTCGTAGCCTGGAACACGATCATCTCCGCCCATGCCCAGCGCGGGGATCTCCCAGGCGCGCAAGAGTTCTTCGATCGCGCGCCCCAGCGCGACCTCTTCTCCTGGACATCGATGATCGGCGCTTATGCCCAGGCAGGCGCTCTTCCCGCCGCCACTCGCCTCTTCGAGGGCATGCCCGAGACAGATCTAGTGGCCTGGACTGCGATGCTCCAAGCGATCGTTGCCAGCGGAGATCTCTCCCTCGCCAAGACCACCTTTTCACGAATGCCGCTGCGCAACGTCGTCGCCTGGAACTCGATCGTAGTTGCATTTGCCGCGGCCGGGGATCTTGCCTCGGCAGAGGCGACCTTCCAATCCATGCCCGAGCGAGACATCGTTTCCTGGAACTCGATCCTCAGCGCCTACTCCCAGACCGGGCAAATCGATGCCGCGAAGCAAGTCTTCCACGCAATGCCCGTCCACAACCTCGTCTCCTGGAATGCCGTGCTCGTAGCAGACGCCCAGAACGGGCATCTTGACAGCGCTCTAGAGACCTTCCAAGCCATGCCTGGGAGAGATCTAATCTCCTGGACGGCGATGGTGGCGGCCTTTGCGAAAGGTGGCCGTCTCGACAAAGCCATGGCCACCGCGAATCAAATGCCTGGGCGGGACACCGTCTCCTGGAACGCTCTCATCACCATGCTCAGCCACTATGGATTCGGCAGCCACGCCGTGGAGAGCTTCCGATCGATGTGCCTTGAGGGAGGATTCCCAAACCAGGTCTCCTACTTGGCGCTTCTCATAGCTTGCAACCACAAGGGCCTGTCCTTCCAAGGATTGTCCAGCTTCAGCCTCGACTTTGGCGTGGCTCTCTCCGTGGAGCACTACTGCACCATGATCGACGTGCTTGGGCGATCTGGAGAGCTCACTGGAGCGACGGATCTTGTAAACAGCATGCCTTACTTGCCTGGAGCAGTCGCCTGGGGATCTCTCCTCGGTGCTTGCACAGTTCATAGTAGCGTCAAGCAAGGCGCCGTGGCCGCTGAGAACCTGGCCAAGATGGAGAATGGTCCGGCACAAGTTCTCTACTCCAATATCATCGCCACTGCTGCTGGTGCCTGAGTAAATTAAGAAGAGAGATCTCGTAAGCTTCCAAAGACGGAAAGAGAAAAGAAACGCAAGCTTCGTCAACGACGCTGACACGGAAGAGAAAAGTGAGGCATCCGCCGACAAGAGCCACGAAGCAAAAGAAAAGACGAGATAGAGATGATCACTCACACTCTAGCTTCCATGAAGCTTGTTTTACAGTACCGCCGTCTTTCGTTCTCGACACAAGCCGCCTGGGGAACAACGAACGATTCAGCGTGCCGAACAGAGCTTTCGGTTGGCTTTCGGCAGTAACGACGAGCTGTGCGCTGTGTGCGCTGGTCCTTCCTGAGTTCCTGACTGCAGCATAAAGATTAAAGTACTAAGAGAAAGCAACTTAAAAATTTGACAAAGACCTGTGTAGTTTCGCGCGAAAGGGAAACCGCTGAACTGGTAGAACACAATAGGTAGCTCACAAGCAAAAAACAGTAGGTAAACATTCCGCAAAGAGAAACTTGACTCGATCAAAGGTGTCAGACACCGATTTGAGATAAAAACAGTCACTCGGGCGCCAAGAACACGAAATGGAAGTATAAGTGATTATGTGAACTTGTAAAAGGAAAAAAGAGCGAGAGCCAGACCTGGCTTGTTCGTCAAAAAAATAGAGTTGATGTTGGGACCTGTGTGTGATAATAGTACTCTCTAGAGCTTGTGATTCGAGCAGCCAGCAACAGAAAGAAACATCCGACGCTTATTCCCGTTGCAATCTACAAAGCCGGAATGATAAGCACAAGAACAAAGAGCAGAGCAAGAGAACTTTCCCACACTCGTACCTGGTGATCTAGCTTCGACGTCGGAGGCGCGGATACCACATCCGGAGAAGTTTCTCGCAAACAAAGCCCAGAGCTTCCGACGCTTTGGTTCCAAAAGATTGGGGCTTCCTCGTCTCGATGACCCCGGCGTCCTCCTCGTCCTCCTTGAATTCCAGGGGCGCCACTTGCTTCGACTTGGGCGGCTTGCTCACGGCCTCCTCCTTCTTCTCCGCCTGCTTTCGCGACGGCTTCTTATCCTTGTCTTGGTCAATCTTCTCCTCCGGAGACGCCTTCTCCACATCGGTGATGGCGTCGCTAGCATTCGCTTCCTTCTTGGCATCGTCCTTGGCAGCCGCTCGCTTCTGCTGCTTGTCTTTCTTTGCCCCCATGGCAGGCCACACGCACTTCCGGCTGCCCTGAGCTTGTGCTTGTGCTTGGAGGGAATCGTTGAGCTCCAGGGCATCGTCAATCACCCGCTGGTTGGGAGAGGCGCTCCAGCGAGACCAGTACTTGGCGTAGCGCTCGAAATATCCGCAAGAAGAGGATCGCTTGCCTGGAGAAGGGGAAGAACTCGACGCATTGTGATCGACAGCGCGATGAAGATGCCGCTTCTTGCCCTGCTGCTGGTGATGCTTCTTGGCCGGCTTCCCGCTGCTGCTCGACGCGAAATCACATTCGTCGTGCGTCGCCAGGTAGCGCAGGAGATCGCCGTCCTCGCGCGGGAGAGAATCCGCCATCGCTTTCACTGGCGAGGGAAGGCGCGCGCCCGAGCTAGAGGCCGCCATAGCCAACCCTAAGGTAAAGGCGGAGAGCGGAGAGAGAGAGAGAGAGAGAGAGAGCGCTTCTGCTAGATTCTCTCTATTCCGCCACGTGGAGCGCTTAGCAGTAATTAAACTCTTCATTTGATTATATGCTCCTAAAACTCAAGGACCGGCGCAGCAAAGACGAAGGAGGGATCGCTAGAACCCTAGAATTCCTGGGACATGCTCCCGATTTCTCCCTTGGACTTGGCGCTCTTCTTGGGGAGAAGCGATTGATTGATGTTGGGGATGACTCCGCCGCTGGCAATGACGACGCTGCCCAAGAGCTTGCTCAGCTCCTCGTCGTTCCTCACAGCGAGCTGTATGTGTCTGGGGATGATCCTGTTCTTCTTATTGTCGCGGGCAGCATTCCCGGCCAGCTCCAGGACCTGGGTAGATCATCACACAAAATCGTTACTCTTCGATCTGCCACAAAGAAAAGCCCAAGAACCCTAAACCCATGAGCGCGAAGATCACACATACCTCGGCGGCTAGATACTCGAGCACGGCGGCCATGTAGACCGGAGCTCCGGCACCAACACGCTCGGCATACTTGCCCGCCTTGAGGAATCGAGCGATCCTTCCCACCGGGAACTGGAGCCCGGCCTTGTGCGATCTTGACACAGCCTTGGTGGATTTGGCCTTGCCGCGCCCGCCGCTACCGCCCTGACCTTGGCTGCTCATCGCTTTCCCTCTTGCAAACCCTCGCGCTTTCCCTCTTGCAAACCCTCGCCCCAAAAAACAGCCGCCCAAAAACTTTATAAACAGTCTCTCCACGCTCTGTTTTACAAACCCTAGAGCAAAGTTAGGGTTTCATAAACCCTAGGCGTGCACGTTAAGCTTGTTTAACATCTAACTTAGTGCTTTGCTTAAAACTCCGATTAGAAAATCTTTAATGTGACAAAAAGCGTACGCTTATATTTTTCTTTATATTAGTCACTTCTTATGCTACAACTTCTGGAAGAATAGCTGTCCCCGGCGATCGATTCGAGAGTCGTCCATGGCAAGTGAGGAGCTGCAAAACAAGATCCATCGTGGTTTAGATTGGAATTCTGCGAGCTAAGCTCTTACCTTCGCATTGACACCATCGTTCACGATCCTGTTCTCCGCCTTGTACTTGAGGTAGTCATTGCGCGAGAACTTTGTGAAGCCCCTGGAAGAAATTCTCGCGTAAGAACAGTGAACGAGGAGATCTATACTTCACAACTTACCACTTCCTGCTGACGATGATCTTCTGCCTGCCAGGGAACTTGAACTTGGCCCTCCTCAGCGCCTCCTGGGCGTGAATTCCATTGTTCTCCTTACACCGCACGGAGAGAAGCACTTGGCCGATGTCCACTCGCGCACAGGTACCTTGCGGCTTTCCAAAAGCACCCCTCATTCCAGTTTGCAGCCTAGGAAACCAAAATAATCGTCAAAGCTTTTTCAAGAGAAATTCTCCACTCACCTATCGGCACCGGCGCAGGAAAGCATCTTGTTGATCCGGAGGACATGGAAGGGATGAACCCTCACGCGGAGATGGAACGCGTCCTTGCCGGCGTACTTTGCCATGTACTTGTTACAGGCTATGCGCGCCGCTTCGAGGGCCTCGCTCGAGACATTCTCCTTCTCCCAGCTCACGAGATGGACGCAGTAAGGGAACTCGTCCACGCCCTTCTTCTTCATCCCCACATCGTAGATTCTGATCTTGGGATCTGGAACACCGCGGCAGAAGCGCGATTTCGGGTATGGCTTGTTCTTGATCTGGCGGTAGCACCTCGCAGGCCCTGCAGCGCATCGAGATCTAAGAATCCCAGCGATCTAAGAAGGAAAGAAAGCACTTACTTCGTCCCATGGCGGCTGCGTCGAATAAGAACCCTAACCCCTATACGATGTTATATATGGCTTAGCAGCCGTTGGATTGACGGTGTTGCATATCGGACGGCAGCGATTCTCGGTAATTCGCGGAAGGATCCGGACCGCCCAGTTCGAAGTTTCGGATTTCTAGGGTTCATACGGTTGAAGGCGCGTCGCCGCTATGCCCGTCGCGGGTATAGGCCGCGTGCGCTTGATCTGTTTGTAGCGGGCTTGGAAAATGCTGGATCGCCAGGATTATGGCTGTGTCTTTGCTCGATCTCTTCCGCTTCGAGTGCTCGAGCTCGCTCCCCTTCGCGTTTCTTCCAAGAGTAAGGCATTTCTTCCTGGATTACATCCATTTTGTTCTCGCGGTGCAGTAAAGATCTACCTGGATGAGCCGCTCTTGCAAAAGATCGATATGAAGAAGCTTGCGGCGTCTTGTGCTTTCGCGGATGCTCTTCTACAAATGGATCAGGTAAGTTCGGTAGTCTTTTCCCGCTAAACTTCCTGTATTTCTTGAAGAAAAACAACGCAGCGTATGATTTCGAGCGCAAAGTTCTTCCAGAGATTCTGGAACTTTGTCAAGAAATAGACTCATCAAGGCCTTACATGGTAAGTTTTTGTCACCGCTCCGCTAGTTTCCTGAGTTTCACGGGTGTTATTTTCAGTAGTCCATTTTGCATGAATCAGGCATTCTCGATTGCTTCCCAAACCTGAGAAAGTATCTGGATACGATCAAAACCTGCGGGGTGAGAAAGAACTTCAAGGTTAACAATGAGTCATCAGGTAAATGCTGGATCGAATCTGATGGAATTCTAATATGGTTACGCCAGGTAGCAAGAACTATCTATCTTACGTAGCGCTCTTGAACGAGCTGCTAACTATGAGCAGCCAGCTCCACGAGGACATCGATCATCCTCAAAATCACAAGTACATGGCACACCAAGTCGCTCTTTTATACGTAAGTGCGCGAAACTCAAGGAAGAAAAACTAAGATCTTCGATCCATTTTCATACTTCTTGCAGCAATGCATCAACCACGTCAAAGGCGAGGTCCGGCCTCTCAAGAAACCCATCGAGGAGCGCTTCAATGGCCTCAAGAACTTGGTGGAGAGCAATTCCAACGGAGGATCTCACCTCACCGATTTCTACAAAACATGGTGAGTGGAACTTTTTCTCTTTCGATGATAAAAAGTGTGAATTATTTTCCCTTTGCGTCCACAGGCTAAGAGATTTAACGAGTGGCATAAGAGCAATCGTCTCGAGCTTCCCCCCAGATGTTGTCTCCAACGTGGACCCATTGGGAAAGTCCCTGAAATGGACGAGCACCATGTCATAGCATGGAAAATGGGCCCCCGGTCGTGGGCTCGAATCTGGCCAGGGCCACTCTTTTCGTCCGTGTTCACGTGAAGTTTTTGGGTGCCTCTTGAGCGAAGCACCGGGGCGGCGATGTGGAGCGCCAGAAATCCGGCGCGGCGGGATGGATCTGCTCGCCAGATGATCGCGGCGCTGCTGCGGGCCAGGTATTGAGAAGAGAAGCGGGAGGAATCGGTCGAAATTTCGATCGGGGATGGAAGCTGTGAGTTCCAGGCCCCTGCTCGTGTCGAGCGTGCTGGTGAATCCGTCGGAGATCGCCGCGGCGCAGCGGCCGTGCCGGGCGGATTCGTGCGAGAGATTTTCGTGCTGGGGGCAGCGATCTTGTTCTTGGAAGGCTTTAGGCGGCGGCAGGAATCAGGGCTTGGGAAGAATGGGAAGAACGCGAAGAACACGACGGGCCTGCCAGACGCGGTGTGAGAATCGCGACGACCTCCGTGTGAGCGAGTGCAGTACGTCGTATATCCCTGGGAATTCGTCCTCTCTGGGGGAATCTCTGAGTGGTGAGACCATCACAGGCACAGGCGCTGCCACTCCTTGCTCCATCGCCGGGGCATTTTCTTCCATGGTGGTGATGCTGACGAGCGTACAAAGGTACGCGCTGCTGGCTCGATCGTCGTCCCACGGGGCCGAGTTCCCGGCGCTCCTGGCCTCCGTCCAGACCGACATGCACTGTTCATTCCTCTGGCTCTTCCAGCACGTCTTCGCCAAGACTCCCAGGTTGATGCTCTCGCTGATGATCATCCTCGCGAATTTCGTGGCTCTCTCGGCGGCGGGGACTTTCGGCCTGGAGCAGCAGCAAGTGGAAGTTTGCTCTAACGGCTTATCATCCTCCAAGAGCAAGAAGACCACGACGGATACGTCGAGCTCTCAGGACGTTTTTATATCCGGGGCTTTCGCGCACGAAGTTTCTCCATCGTCCGGCGACGAGGAGCTCTTCATGGTCTCCATGCTCGAGCAAGCCGCGGAGGAGCACAAAGTTGGCAACCATGGCAAGCCTCCACACGCCGTGGAGATTGGTCCCGCGGCAGCGCTGGTAGCTCCAATCTCCGTGCACCTGGAAGCTGATGACTACGAGTGCTTCGACCGGACGGAGCTACTCTACCAGGAGGCGCTCGCCACCGATCAGAACAACCCGCTGATCCTCGCGAACTATGCCGAGTTCCTCTTCCTGGTTCGTCGTGACTATGAAAGGTAAAAATAATCTATTTTTTCTTCGTTATCCTTCGGTGATCTCAAGCTTTCTTTGCAGGGCTCATAGCGTTTTCCACTTGGCACTTCGAGCCGATCCCGAGGACGCCGAGATCATCTGCCGCTACGGCAAATTCTTGTGGCTGGTTCATCGGGACCGGCGAGCAGCCGAGGAGGCGTACAGGGCAGCGATGGCGGCGGAGCCATCGAATCCATTCTACGCCGGCTGCTACGCTCACTTCCTGTGGCACTCGGGGGAGGACCCGGCAGCGTCGCGCTTAATCGAGCGGGTCTCGCAGCGTAAGATCGATCAATAATCTTGAGGTGAGCAGCGAAAGTCTCCATCGCGAAAAGAATCTCACAATGTGGACCCTTGAAACCTTTGCAGCGTTTGTTTTGATTCGTGCGAGCAGTGGACCTCATAGAAGGAGAAACCCAGGCAAATTGGGCTTCTCGATGTGACAATCCAGCGCGCTGGGTCGCACAAAAGGGATCACACTCCAAACAAGTTGGAAGAAGAGAAAGAGATACTTGACGCACATAACACCAGAGTTGTAATGGAGCCTTGTTTGATCTTTCCACTGGTGAGGGGACATTGCCAATCACCAGCTTGTATGATCTGCTATATATTCCGCGAAGTTACTGGGCATTTGAATCTGGGCCGTTGGCATCCACAAAGAGGAATGGCGAATTGGACAAAACTGGGCCATTGGATGAGATCTCGCGAGGGTTTTCGCGATGGAAGAAAAAAAAACCTTGGACAGTATATTGCAGACTTCAAGCTTAGCATTTCCAGCAAAGCTTCAAAAAGTTTAACTTAATTTGTTTTTTCTTTGTTTTCTTACTATTATATACTCAGCTAAATAAATCCATGGGAAATGCAAAGATGGATGCCAGTGGTCCAGGCAAGCCAGCGACAAAAGGAGGAGATTCAGCACATGCAAGAGAAGATTTGTGGAGACAAGTTTATTCCTCTTTCGCTCCGTTTTGATCTCTGTCGTTTCCTCTTTTGTTTAGCCCATGGAAAACGACACTAGGCTTCAAGAAGCCGGACTCTCCAAATGAGATGATCATCGCGGGCTGGCATAAGACCAAGTTTGATCTTCCGAGCAAGAGAAAACGAACCTCAGCTCTAGCTATTACATATTCCATGATCCCGCCAATGGTTCTTCCTGTGCAATCTTCGCTCAGGGCATTCCACCCTATCCCACATGCCATAGCTCAAAGGACTGCGCCATGGTTTTGAGTAAATAAAGGAGTCGAGTAGACAGGAAGTTGTGGGAGAGGGGCTGAGACATCGAATTAAACAGCACGCGTGCGCTGATTGAAATTTGGCTAAGTGTTGGGGCTGTGGCCACGTGGAAGTAATTTTAGGGCGCACGCTGCCCACGAGCCCTTTCCAGGTGCCCGTGCTAGGCATATCCCAAGAGAAGCGACCATGAGACGAGATCTCTCTCGGGCATCTCAAAAACGTTTCTACCGCCTTGGAAAGGTCCTGGGCATGGAAAACTGCTGCTAGCATTGCGCAACGTCGCGGTCAAACATAAGTTAAACGATCCGTGCTGCTTCTTCAAGATGCCGCTGTTGAGAGAATTGACGTGAAGGAGACCATGTTGTGCTCGGGCATGCTCTCATACGCGCACCTCCCTTCTTCTAGATTCCAACTCTGCGATTGCGCCGACAGAATCGTGTTCCAGGCAGCATCATGCTGCTCCATTTCTTGGAACTCGCCAGATGCCCGGCCTAGACGAGAGCCGCAAGCACCGCTGTAGCAGACTTGAGATCTTGGACCGGCATCTCGAGAAGCAAAGCCCAGGCTCGATCGATCCGGCCGGACTGCGCGAATGCCGCCAGCGTCGCGCCAAATCCACCACTGGCATCGCCTGGAAGATCCGTGGATGCCACCACCTGGATGATCACACCAGGCTGTTCTACGGTTCCGCGATCCTTGGGGGATCCATCCTCGCGTCCTGGCTCCTCTTTTGCATCGTCCTCCTGGGATTCTAGCTCCGGGAGCGTCCGGAGCTCCCGATCGTCAAGGTGTCCACGCGCTTCCAGAAGTTCTACCTGATCAAGCCAGACGTTGTGAGGCAAAAGGAGGAAGGCAAGGGGAACTTAACGAATCCAAACCGGCACCGATATCTTCCACCACTGGGTCGAGATGACCGTGTTCTACCATGGCACGGCCTTCGCGGTGGATCGGATTGACAACACGGCCACTCGCATCAGCGTTGGACACATGTTTCGTGAAGAGCTCGTCGCGCCGATGATCGACTATCAAGTGATCAGCCCCTCTGCAGTACGTATCCTTGTGCTTGTTTTCTCTTTTCTTTTGCTTGATCTTGATTCTTTTTTTCGTTCCTTCAGACGGGATTTGAGATCATCTTCCAGTCGGAGACCTCGCTGCTCTAGGGCGGCATTTTCGTGGGGGTGCCGGGGCTTGATCAAGGATTTCATAGACCAGTATGAGGGGTTTCATTGTCACTGCATGGACGGGAAGTGGCGTCCACACGAGGACTTGAAACACTATCGGGAATCGTCTTGGACCAGGGATGACTCGGGTGCTTTTGTTTCCATTTCTCGCTCGCTCAGTCCTTGATCTTTGGTTTTTCGCCTTTGCATTGGCAGATATCATCGATCCCTTCACTTAGGGATGAGATCTGGCCGTTGAATGAGATCTAGCGAATGGGCGGGGCATATTTGAAACTGGGCCGTTGGATGAGATCCCGCGAGGGTTAGGTCTCCCGGGAGCTCGGGGAGCTCGCGAGAGGGCGCCATGGAAGCGCCGAGCTGGAGATGGATCCATGGACGATGCCGCCGCGACGCTCAGCACCAGGAGAGCAGTCGTATTCGACATCGAGCAGCAGCCGCCGGCGCCGGCGCCGCAGCAAGATTTGCCCTCGTCCTCCTCGTTCCAGGTTCGCCGATCCATTCTCAAGCGCCCCTCCAGGAGCATCCAAGAGGAAGGGCAAGAAGCAGGAGAAGCTCGCAATGGCGGCGAAAGCCCGTGGTCCGAGGAAGATTACGATCCTTACTATGGGCTGGGGATCAGAACCCGCCCCGATCTTCCAGTGCTGCTCGTCTTCAACCTTATGGAGTCCCGCCGATTCAATACCTTCTCGTCCCCGACGCGCACGAGGCTGTTCTACGCGGCGACGATCCTCGGGGGATCCATCATCGCCTCCTGCCTCGTCTTCTGCATCGCCCTCCTGGCATTCCAGCTCCGGGAGCGCCCAGAGCTGCCGATCGTGAGATTTAAATCGGTGCTCGTGAGCTATGGCAGGCTCTACCGCATCAAGCCAGAGGTGATCCGGCAGCAACAGGTGGAAGGCAAGGGCAACTATTTCGCTTACAAGTTGAACTTTCTGTGCGAGGTCCATATGAACATCACCAATTCAAACCGGCACCTCGACATGTTCCACCACTGGATCGAGACCACCGTGTACTACCATGGCACGCCCATTGCCGTGGACCGCATCGACAACATCCCGCATCCACGCCGTGGGATCATCCGGCCCGTGTTTACGGCGTTTGCGATCTCCCTGCCGCTCACTGTCGCCGTTGGAAACAAGCTCGACGAAGAGCTCCATGACCCGCGGCTCTCGTACACTGGTCCTACTGGGGTATGCAGTGTCTTCTTCTCTTTTCTCTTTGTTTGATCCTGTAGTTTCTCCATTGCAGTTGGCATTCGAGATCATCGTCCAGTCGGAGATCTCGCTGCTCGAGGGCTTGCGTCCGCTGCCATTTTCGTGGCGATGCCGGTGTTCAATCTTGACCGATCTTTTGCTGGACGGATTTAAGTGCCGCTGCTTGGACGCGAAATGGCGTCCACGGGAACACCTCAAATACTATCGCGTGCCATCTTGGCCCAGGGATGAGACGGGTACCCTTTTCTTGCTCAAATCCATGATCTTTTCTTACTTCTCTACTGGCAGAAATCATCGAGAACAATTTTTCTTATCCTGACGATTACTACGATCCCAGTGTGAATTACTACGCCAATACCAATTCTTCCCATCCATACCTATACTATACATAAGTGGCAAGCTTTTCGTGAAGTTTCTTTTGAGCAACAAGAAAAAAAGAAGAAGATCAAAACAGCATCCTTGTTACTCGTTTCTATACTGATTTGTAATGAGTATTCCTACATTATCCAATTATTTTCTATTATGTGTTAGTTTTCCAATTCTTTATGCCATACTACTCACTTGGGGGGTTTGATCTCCTCAATCAGTTCTTGACTGGATATGTGACTGAAAAAGGAAAAGCATCAATCCAAAGAAAGAGGAAAAAGATGCACTTAAAGGATCAGAGTGGACTTCCCATTCCATGATGAGTAAATCTTTGAAACTCCTGCCTAACATAATATCAATATAGAAGTACCTTTGTATAAGTTGTTGATTTTGTTGTTCCGAACATACACTTTAGTGTCATTCTTGCTTATCACCATCACTTTATCACTTTATAGTGTTTGTGTGTTGCCATTTCATCTTTTAACATTTTATAAATAGTTTTATGTGCATCAAATATGCCATAAGTGTATTGACTGCCAAAGACTGCCTACATCTTAACTCTAGCATGACCAACATTCTAGAGGAAATAGTTGAGTAAAGGTATTCCATAACAAGGTTATCACACATGGTAAATCGCTCCCTTTATCTTTCCTTGCTTGTGCTCCACAGTGAGCGGGCAGAACTTGGTCTTGAGGACCTTACCAGACTTATTGAGCTCGGGATCTACTGAAACGTTTCGCTTATGTGTTAGGAACTTGATGATTGCTTGTGGAATGTCAGGCTCATTGCTCTGTGTGCGAAATCAAAGAACACACATAAATCCAGAAACCATGATCAAATCATAGTTTTTATAGCAAGTCAGTGGCCAAATTGCCCTCTCGAAGGCGCGTCACAGCATGCATGCAATTGGCATCTCTTTTTCTTTGAAACAGCTTGTACAGACGACGTGTCAACAAGATTCCTCGCTGTTGGACGTCCTGAAAAGCACTATAAACGTGAAAAGCAGAGACTAGAAAGGGACTTCTTACGATTCCACATTTCATACGGCTAAAAATATTCGTTGATCCTTAGTGGATATTTCTAGGATATGCCGGGATATTCTATTTTAGATAGAAGGTTTAGGTTACCTTGACTCTTTAAAACTAAAACACATAAGCTTTGATATTTGGATCTGCTTGAATGATTTAAGAAAAAAAAAACCCCCTGTTTTCACCACTCCTGTTAAAGAGATAATATTTGATCCAGAATATTGTACGTGCAAACATTATAATCTCAATTCTCTTACAAGGTATGTAGAAGAAGAAGTTAACGCTATATAGAGGGAGGGAGAACAAAAAAGAGCTTAGCTCTCCTCCTAGACAAAGACGGTGCGCCCTCCTCTCCGGCTTTGCTTGTCATAGGCGGTGGTAAACTTCTCCACAAACTCGTTCATGGTGTTGGAGCACTTGGTGATGGTGGCCAGGTACGTCATGAGCAGCGTGTCGTTGTACTCCATGAGGAAATCGTCCTGGAACTTGGGCGAGTCGATGGCTGGCAGGCGGCGGACGAGGCTCGACACCTGCCGGAGGAGCGCATGCTCGGGCGGCGCATCCCCCTTCTGGATCGCGGCCAGGAGATGGTGGAGGACTTTGATCCGGCTGTGGAGCATCTTGATCGCGCTGTGCATCCCGGTGAGGTGCGCCGCCAGCTGCGTCGCGGCGGAGCTCCCGTCCGATGGCTTGATGTGTGCGACGTGATCCACCGAGATCCTCTCCGCCTCCACCGTCTCGATCGTGTAGCTCGCCTTGACGAAGATGAGCGACGGCACCCCGTCGATGACATGGAGCTCGCTCTCGTAGATGGACAGTGGGAGCTCCTTGCGCGCGGGGTTGATCGCCGGATTGAGGAGGAGGTAGACGGGGCTCTCGTTGATGTCCATGAGCGCCTTGTGGATCACCATGTCCGACTCGCGGATGTCCGCGCCGATGGAGTACCAGCCCAGGACGTCGTACTTTGGGAAGACCTTCTTGTACTGCTCCTGCTTGGTCTCCAGGAAGGGGCGATCCAGGGAATCCGTGGCGGCGTCGTGCTTGAGCTCGAAGCTGTTGAAGATCTCGACGTTGCGCCCGGCCTGGACGCCGATTACGCAGCCAAAGACGCGCAGGGGAGGGGGAATACCTGCGCTTCCAGTGGCCGCCGCCTGCGCCATCAGTCGCGTGTAGTGATCGGAGATGTTGACGATGACGAGCGGGTGGAGCTTGAAGGTGAGGCCGCTGCTGGACGACATCGTGCCCGCGCCGCTGCTCGACGCCATGGTATGCTAAGAACCCTAATCTTGGAAGAACCCTAAATGTCGAGGTATTTTTCTTTTGTTTGGGCGGGAGCTTCGTTTTATTTCGGTGAATGCTGCTAGATCGTGATATTTCGGTGCGCTGCTAGATCGTGATGCTGTTTGGGATCCCTCTCCCCGTGATCCCGGCGCCGGATCGCGGGCACAGGAGCGTGTAAGGTACATTCGCTGGCCCTCTCCTGTTCTTGAGCTGTGGATCGCTGTTGCGCTGCTCAATCCCGCTCTCAATCTCCGCGATGCTGCGCGAGAATGCGTGGAATGCCGCCAGGATTTCGCGGTTGCTCGTCCAGTGCTCGTCGCCTGTGCGCTGTCCCAGGTATTCCTCCTCCTCTGGATGTGTTGAGAGAACTTCCAGTGTTGTGAGGAGCATGGCAGTCTCGGCCTTGGTCGGGATCACACTGAGAAAAAATCTCTCGGGGTTTTCTCGCATCTCCGCGTGTTCTTTGGTCCCTTCTTGCGGTATGAGCCTGTGTGTCTTGGAGGGATGATTTGGGAGAAATCCTTGGTAAGCGTACTGTCCATAGTTTACTGCTGCATGGCGACCCGAGGCTGTCCAGATCAAAGTTGTGAGAAGATTTTCCAAGTTGGCCTTAGAGTCTATGCCAGAGATCCATTTCTCATGACTCTTGTCTCCATGCCCGGTGCTTCTCACCTCGCTCCACCATTGCTGGAGCTCGTTATCTGCCTGGAGAGCTCCATCGCTCTTGTAGAAAATGTTTATAAACTCGTGCACCCAGCGCCTTATAGCGCTCCAAATCTCCAGTCCGTCGATAGCATACGGATAGTCCTCGATGGTCAGCTTAAGTCCGTGTTTTTCTTTCTCGTCCGGCACAGCCATGCCCCTGCAAGGCAACGTAAGTTCTACTGTTCTTCTTCCTTACTCTCTTTTCATTATTACCTCTTGATCAAATCAGCTGGCAGGCTTTGATCGTCGAAACTCCAGGAGTCGTATGCGGCCGAGGACATCTCAAACGAGTACTTTCCTGGCGAGAAGCTCTTTTCAATGACACCACCCGCGCTCGTAAGCGTCTTTCTTGCCAATGCATTCATCGCCAGCGTGTCCTTGAAATGTGGATCCAGCAAGAGATGCAGAGGGTGCATGGTGCTCAGATGTCGACGAGCCGCCAGTATGAAAGGTTCTAACACCGCGTGTGTATATGTCCTGCAGATGCCGGAGATTTGGAAAAAGTTACTCAAAGCGTCTCAACAGTGACCACTTACCAGTGGCTTACGACTTGATGGTACGTTGCATCGTTGCAAGCTGCGTGTGCTTTAGCAAGATCCCATAACCAGTCTTTTTTCTCGGCAGACAAGGGTGGCACAAACACCCTGTGACTACTTGTGTCCGGAGTTTGTGGTGGCAAGCTTAGCTCTATGGCAACTGGTTTAAGGCAGCCCTGCTTAGTTAAAAAGAAGATGGAACGAGACGCGTACGACTGGATCCCTTCTTGCGCATTGATCCTACTCAAAAATGGCATGAAGGTGTCGTAGTAGTCGACGCTGAAGAGTTTTCTTCCTCGGAGAGCCTGAGACGAAAGATTGAAAATTTTTGCACAGGACGTAACGAACGGGATGACTGTACCGCTTGAACTGACAATCCCTCGAGCTGCTCTTCAATGTGCTCCGGTTTTAGAGAGGATGGTGCCCCGTATTTCGATGGATCAAGTCTGCTTTCAGGTATAAATGCCTGCATCACCAGAGTTCTTTTTTGTTTTCTTTTCTCTCAACTGATTCATCGTACCTTCATGCAGGTAATTTTCAGCGCATGAACCCCCGCGATAGTCTGGCGAGCGAATTCCAAGTCGGATGACCAGGCCCACTCATCAGCTGAAACTCACAATTAAATGCGAGGGCTCTTTGGAGGTAGAAAAATTGCTTACTCGCAACGATTTGCGGGATTGGATATCTCAGCCAGCTTGTGTTCTTGCAGTCCTTAAACTCATTCTGGACAAGGACGGTGTGTGGACTGTGTTTCTCCTCGTCATCCGCTGTCGTGGATGCTTCCACGCTCATCTCTTGGTGGTAAAGTTGCATAACTTCTTCGAATGATTTAAAACTCCTTCCGAAAACAGACTTTAACACCGGGAGCAGGCTATGTGCAGCTGCCTTGAGTTTCTCTTCGAACAAAGCACACTGTTTCCGCCTGCTGGGCCTGTCATCGCTTGGAACATAGAAATCTTTTCTTTGAGCTGGCATACTCTCGGCAGAAGGATCTGCAAGCCATTATGGTAGAGAAGCGACACTTGATAGAGCTGACTCACCTGATATTGCAGGACTCCTGCCTGTCCGACAGCGACGTGGATATGGATGCTCTCTGGATCCACCAAGAACGGGGCGAATCATATCCGGGCCTTTTTCAGGATTTCCGAGGTCGTTATACAGATCATAGTCATATATTCTATCCGACTCATGTCGTTCGCCTGTTCCATCTCCTCGCAGGTCTCGCAGCTCACGCTCTCGGAGCTCAGTCAATCCTGGTGGGGTATCGCTAGGAAGGTACACCTATACGCAAGTTACAAGTTGATCAACTTACAGGATGGATCTTTATGTTCCAGCTAACGAAACAGCTGTACCTCATTGCTAAAGAACACACGATCATTCTTATATTTGGAGGCGTTAAATACCCAGGAGTTGCATGGAAAGTGAAGGACGGTGGCATCAGGTAGCTCGAGCTTTACGTACTTGAGATAAAACTCGTGCTTGTGGTGATTTCTAATCGCGAAGGCTCCAGGGATGCCGAACGACGTGTGGAGCTGGAATATAATTTCGTATTGGACGTCGTCAGGTACGAAACCATCCTTGGATAGAAACCAGTCACTCACTGCCACTTCCGGGCTCTGTTTGCAGTCCCCGGTTTCTGCATTATATAAACAAAGTCGAGAAGTGAAAATGCAAGAATGAGCCTATTACCTGGATCAAGCTCGGTGCTCACAAGTTGCAGAGTCACCTTGTTGCCAAGGAGGTCCCCGATATCATCCGCAACATCGGCAGCCACATTGCCGAGCTCGAGTATGTGCTTCTTCTGAACGACTATGCGGCCTCTCACGACGAACTCCATTTTAGAAAAACAAAAGAAAGCCGGCCGGCAGTTTTATACAGTGATGGAACTCTTCTATCAAGAAACGTCGTCAGTTATATTATATAACATTTATGGAACTTTTACGAAGGATGTTATATACAAGACACGAGAAAGCGATTCTCCAACGCTCGCGAACTACAAATTAGCTCTCTTCGCCAAAACTTTTACTCTCTCGAGCCGGTCATCCTATCAGATTGATACGCTATTCGGAACTCCTCTACCAGTCAGCCCGAGCCCCGACGACGGGCACAGCAGAGTGAAGGGCACCTCCGCCGGTCCTCTCCTGTTCTCCAGGCTCGGCTCTTCGTTCCTCAACTCGATATCGTCCTCGGCGGCCTCCAGTCTCTGCGAGAAGCTCTCGAAGGCAGCCATCACGCGTTGGTCCGACGTCCATTTGGAGCTCGGCTGCTCCCCCAGGAACTCCTGCCCGGGCAGGTGGCTCGACAGCAGCTCGATCGCGCACAGCAGAGTTATGGTCTCGAGCCGGTTGGCCAGCGTCGAGCAGAAGAACTTCTCCGGGTCCTGGAGCAGCTCCTGGTGCTCCTCACTCCCGGCCTCGGGGATGAACCGGTGCGTGATGGTGGGGCGGTTTGGAGTGAAACCAGCGTAAGCAAACTGGCCGAAGTTCACGGCCGCGTGGTGGGCCGAGGCTAGCCAGATGACAGTCGTGAGGACCTCTTTCAACGCGGATTTGGTGCTCAGATCTTGCCAGCCTTCTTTCTTGTCAGCGTGGCCGACCTCGGTGATCTCCCTCCACCAGTTCTGGAGCTCCGTGTCCGCGCAGACTGAAACGTCGTACATGTAGAAGATATTGACGTAGTCGTCCACCCAGGTTTGGATCGACGACCAGATCTCCAGGCCATCCACCGCATATGGGTAGTCTTCAATGCGGAGCTTGAGGCCGTGCTTTGCTGTGGGATCCCTGACAGCCATTCCTCTGCAAAGAAAAAATTAAGCTTGTTAAAAGGATTTCTTTTCTCTTTAGCTGATTCCTTACCGTTTGAGAAGATCAGCTGGCAGGCCTTGCTCGTCGAATCTCCACGAGCTCTTGTAGAAGAGGGAGCTGATCTCCAGCGTGTACTTCCCGGTGAAGAACGCTCTCTCGATGATTCCACCAGCGCAGATAAGCAGCCTCCGAGCTTCTGAGTTGATGGAGATGGTGCTCTTGAGGTGTGGTAGAAGCAGGCCTTTCACTGGATGGAGGTCACTCAGCTGCCTGTGCGTAGCGATGATGAAAGGCTCGAGCACTGCGTGAGTTCTCAACCTTTGGAAAGAAAAGAGGAGTGATAAAACGTTTTTGATCAAAAGCCTCGAACTTTGCTTCGTACCAGTGACTGATGGCCTGGTGATATGCTGCATCGTTTGTTGATGCGTGGACCTTGGCGAGCTCCCACAACCAATCTCTCTCGCCGGAAGTCTCCCCGGGAACGAACACTCTGTTGATAGCCTCCCCGGGCGATGGGAGGCTCAGTTCAATCGCCACTGGAGTCAGAGTTCCAGCATCTGTCAAGAAGAATATTGTCCGAGAGGCATAGGACCGGACTCCCTCTTGCGCGTTGATCTTCTCCAAGTAAGGCATGAAAGCGTCATGGTAGTCCAGGACAAACAATCTACTCGCTTCCAACGCCTGCCACAGACGGAAAGACTAAAACCTTCAGCATCCAGTGGTTTCACCACGAGTATCAAGCTTGCTACCTCGCTGACGCTCAAGCTTCCCAACTGGCTTTCGATATGAGCTGCGTTTAGAGAAGATGTTTCCGATGGATCGAGTCGATGAGGAGGAAACACCTGCGGCGATCGGACATTACATTAAACCTCCAGTCCTTGAAAGAAATTCGATAACATTGCCACATTGTAGTACCTTCAGGCATTCGATGGTAATAGGATTCAATCCTGCAATTGTCTGTCTTGCGAACTCGGAATCGAGCATCCAGGCGTCGGGATGAGCTGCGAGAAACGCCCGTTAGCTGACATATACAAGTTTAAACTCCCTTCACGCTATACCTCCAAGAACTTGCGGCAAAGGGAACTTCAAACAGCAGTTGTTGTCGGTTGTCCTACTTTCCTCCGGCTTTAGATTGAAGCCTTCGGTGAAGAGGCTTCTAAGCTCGCCGACGTTGTCGAAGAAAGGCCTCGAGGCATAAGCCTTGTGAATCTCAGGAATGAGTTGGTAAAGAGACTGAACAGCATTATCTGCTGCACCACACTGCGTAGCGAAAGCAGGCGCCTCACCAGCCGGGAGATACAATTCTTTCTCGCTAGAAGCCGAGCTCTCAAAAGTGTTGTCTGCAGTAGAAGCACATATGTAGAGAGAGACACATCAATGCGGATTTACAAGTACCTGTGTTGGATGGCATGCGACCTGTTCGACACCTTCGAGGATATGGATAAGTGCTGGATCCTCCCAAAACTGGCCTCAGCAAGTCTGGACTGTAGTCAGGATTTCCGAGATCATTGTAGACATCGTAGTCGTAGATGCGTTCGCCATTGACACGAACTCCACTCCCATTGCCTCGGATGCTTGCTAGCTCGCGCGTCCGAAGCTTCATCAACCCGGAAGGTGTGTCCAGTGGAAGATAAGCCTGCGCATTGCAACGTTTCGAGTGAGAAAAGTTTCCCATCAACAGGAAATAGTTTCTTTGCTACCTTGTTTGCAAAGAAAACACGCTGCTGCCCGTTTGAAATCCAAGTGTCGCACAAGAAACCAATGGTTGTTTTATTTGGCATCTCCAGGACTAGTGACTTCAGCAGCATTGGCGTGCCATAGCCGCTGTTCACAAGAATTGCTCCAGGTTCACCAAAATCCTTTCGAATGAGAAACTTGACAGGACACTTGATATCACTCGCAGAAGGCGAAGAATCATGCAAGTGCCAGTCCACAGTTGCAATGTCGCTTAAAACTTCAAGTCGTGTGGCTGGAAAACATAAAACATGGGGGTCAGAAGTGAAAGGAGAGAGATATCCGAGCGCATACTGACCAGAGTCTGCCTTGGTGCTAATCAGCTGTAGCGTGATCGCTTGAATGCCCTCTTGCTCTTGCTTTTGGAAAGTTGCATAGCCTAGCAGCTCAACAGTGCTGGCGGAGCTGAGCACCTTGAAGGCCTCGGCGAAGAGCTTCACAAAATGGCCATCCTGCGTCACAGGTGAGCTCCTTCTGTGTCCAACACCCGAGAAGTAGCTAAGTTGCGACCGCGTCATGACACTTTTTGCTGCCGGAGCCATCCGAGGAGAAAATCTCCTCCCCCCGTAGACAACAGCAGACATCTGAAACGCCGCGGCCATGGCTCTACAAGAAGCAAGAGAAGAATCGCTACAACTTTGCTGAGCACTCGGGGATGCAATCTTTGCCGAGCAGCACTCGAGAATGTCAAGGCGCTAACACCGACGACTTTCACAGCAACCTCACGAAACGCGAGCGGGAGACCACTGCTGCTTTCACTGCGGCGAGATACCACAGCCAGAAGCAACGAGGTATTTATAAGCCCGACTTGAGAGTGACATGAGAATCCTTTTAGGACCTTTCACCGCACAGCAGAGGAGCTCATCTCCACTGCTGCAAATGACCACTGTTGCAATGGACGACACAATCAATGACATCTTACATTCCGGCAGAGATTTCTTTCTGCCACTCGACACCTTTGACCGACTCCACTCCGCCGGCTCACAAACAAACCGTCAGGTTCCCAAACCCCCGGACACTTCCTTGTGGTTAGATAAATGGAAAAAGAGAAGAGCCGAAAGAAGAAAGAAGAAGGAAAGCAAATTGCCACGGAGGGGGGCGAATGGGCCCGAGTGGACACCGAAATTCGACCGTGCACGATGCGACACAAGTGACAAACCACGCTTGGACTATCGAAGGAATCCATAGCCAGCCTGTTGTTTGACGCTAGAGACTAAGACATCAAGCCGCTGTAGCTCTAAAAAGTCTTACCAGAGACGCGGAGCTCCAGTTGCGTGCGATCCTAGGATAGATCTAGCGCCTGGAAAACGCGCGCCGGTGGTTGATCCATCCGGGGCGCCGTCCGGGCCGCGAGCGGCGCCTGGGCGGGCGGGCGGGCGGGCGGGACTAGAAAAAACTGCGACGAACCCTAAACCCTGGCGGGATATTCTTCGGTTGACCGTTGGGGGTGACGATGCCGTGACGTGGCGGCGTCCGGCTCAAGCCGTCCACGTGGCACCAGATCTTACGGCTGCGTTTGTGTCTCATTAGATTCATGAATGATCAACGCGAGGGGGGATCTCTATGAGTGATTTGCACGACCGCACTCCATTTTTGCTTTTTTAAATTTATTTTCTTCTTGGCTTTCAAGTTCTTCTTTGATGAGCGATTTGATTCTCATCGGTTTAGAATATCTTTGGATTGTGATAACTGGCTTGTAAAGTCGTAGAGGAGATTGACACGATAAGAGCAGCCATTGCTACAGGAGCTCTCTCGAGGCTTGGTATCGAGTTCGCATTACCGAATGGTGAGATTCGCGCCCATTGAAAAGAAATACTTGTCATTGTCACTCCGAATGATCGCGCTCGCGAATGTCAAGGGAGCGCCCGCGAATGTGTTGCACTATAAGAGAACGCGGAAGGGAAAAAGAAAGAAATCCACGATGAACGAGGGAATAGGGAATGCGATCGCACAGAAAAGACGAGCTTTCTTGTTTGACAGAGTCAAGTGCCAATGATCGGTGAGCATAGCATGACAGCGCAAAAGCTCTCTCGATTTGTCAAAAACTTGAAACAGTCAAGTCTGGAAGAACACACGCGCGCTGAAAAGCTCGAAGAAGCTTATCGTCGCATCATGGGAAACGAATAGAGAGATTTTGATGCTTCGTTTCGATGGATTGCAACGAGACAAGTCAACGCACTCTGTACAGCAAATCAACCAGCGAAAAAATCGAAGAAAACTAGAAACAAACACCAAAAAAATCGTGATAGCATATCAAAGAGAGGAAGAAACAAGGAAAAAAGAGAGAGAGAGAGAGGAGAAGTTTGAGGTACTAAGAAGTACCTCGAATAAGTAGCGAGGATGAAGCACTTGGAATCCATCCTCCAAAGATCGAGCTTCTCCCTGGCGAAGGCGATGGCGATGGAGCGAGCGATGGTGGAAGCAAAGATCAGCTAAGAGCAGCAGGCCGATCTTTGCGCCGCCGCCCCGGCCCCCGTCCCGGTCCCCGGATCCGGCCGCGTGATCTGTATGTTACTGCTCGCCACCTCGGGCCGCGCAGCCTCGCTCTCCTCGAGCCTGCGCTTGATATCCCTGGCGATGGCGAAGAACGTCTCCTCTACATTCTGCCCGGTCTTGGCGCTCGTCTCGAAGAACCGGATCCCATACTCGTTGGCCAGCGCCTGGCCCTGCGCGGTGGTGACCGCCCTCTTGCTCTCGTCCATGTCCGCCTTGTTGCCCACCAGCACCCGGCTCACATTCTCGCTCGCGTTCTGCTCGATGTTCTTCACCCAGTTGCGGATGTTGTTGAACGAGGACTCGTCCGTCACGTCGTAGACGAGGATGATCCCCATGGCGCCGCGGTAGTAGGCGGTGGTGATGGTCCGGAAGCGCTCCTGCCCGGCCGTGTCCCACACCTGGAGCTTGACGCGCCGCCCGTCCAGCTCGATGGTCCGGATCTTAAAGTCGATGCCGATGGTTGTGATGAAGCTGGTGGTGAAGGAGTCGTCCGAGAAGCGCAACAGCACGCAGCTCTTGCCCACGCCGCTGTCGCCGATGAGCAGCAGCTTGATGCGGTAGTCGTGGTCGGCGCCAGCGCCGGGCCTCACCGCCGAAGACATTACGCCCTCCTCCTCCTCCTCCTCTGGATGATGGATCGGTTCTTCTCGATCGATTGCGATCGATTCCCTTTCCTAGCTCCTCCTAGATCTGGACCGCGATTGCGGGATTCCTGCTCGAAATACCTGGCCGCCGCGGACGGAATCCTCGCCGCTCCACGCTCCCACCGCGCGATCGATCAATCAATCAAAACCCTAGAGCACTGGAAGGCCCTATTCATGTCACTCGGCATAAAGTACGACGAAGCTGTACATCTCAAATTCCAGCCGTTGGATCCCGCTGATCCGACCGTCCGTTTGCCAATGGGCCTCGTCTTAGATGGCGGCAAAATTAATATGCACAAACTTTGTCCTCTTATTTGGAGAAAACGTCGAGCAAACTACCTGGGATCCTCGTCCGGATCGCCTGCTACAAATCGGTGCTCTAGGAGCTGCGAGAAGAGAAGATCAAAACCAGGTAGAAGAAGAACACCAAACAAGGATAGAAAACCTGAGTTGCTGTTGGTCTCAATCTCGGGTCCATTTGAAAACACTGCTGGAGGAAGTCCTTGACACAGCCCGAGCCGTGCTCGGGGATTGGCGGCCCACTGCTCGCCTTTGCAATGTGGAAGATTGCGCTCCAAGTGTTGTCAATGTCCGGCCAAGGGTGCCTGACAAGATTTCCAAAACTTTAGTTTTGCCAGAAGGACACAAAGACGCTTTGCTAGATACTTGAAGAACTAGAACTTGGAAGCTGTGCGAGAGCGACGAAAAGGAAGGAGAGAAACCGATCGAACGAAACTTGAAGAACTATGGAAGAGCTAAAAAACCAAGGAACTTACTCTCAACACTTACATGGCTGTGAGCATTTCAATGACTGTGCAGCCGACGCTCCATATATCAGCACGGCGTCCGTAGCCATCGCCCTTGATAACCTCGGGTGCCATCCAGAAAACCGAGCCCCGTATCGACTTGCATTCGTTCGTCACGGTAGGATCATGGAAAGCCTGTGAACAAAACTGACAAGTTAACTTCCGAGGGACGAAGAAGAAAGCCAATATTACATACCTTGGAAGCTCCAAAGTCGGCCAACTTAACCACGCCAATAGCGTCCACGAGAACGTTCCCTCCTTTGATGTCGCGGTGGACGATCCTGTTCTCGTGGAGGTACTGGAGGCCGAGCAGCAGCTGCCGGGTGTAAACTCGGACGAGAGGCTCACTAAACCGACCGAATCTCTCCAGCATGCTGTTTAAAAGAAAGAGGTGATATGAGAAGATAAAATAAGCAGCTTGCCTTTGGATTGATCCGCCTGAAACGTACTCGAGGAATATGTACAAGCTTCCACTTTGCTCGTCCTGCTCCATATTGATGTAGCCAACAATGTGCTTGTGCCTCAACTTCCTGTAAAGATTGATCTCTCGCTCCAGAGCTGCGAGATAGAAAGACTTTTCTTGTCCTTCGCCAGGATCAATCTTCAGCTGCTTGACAGCCATCAGCTCACCCGTAGACTGGTTGAGCCCGGAGAAGACCTGAGAAAATCCAGAGCTCCTTAGCAACACGTCTCAACAAACCTCGGATCTTAGCAAGAAAACATGAATTCCACCTTACTTTTCCATATGCACCCTCACCAAGAAGTTCTCCTTTAGTCCATTTGAATTTGCCCGTTGTCTTAGCTTCCGGTTGTGGGAACAGCTTCTCCGCAACACCTTGGCTCGACGACGGGCTCGTCTCCGGTACCGCTGCTCCTGCAGCTGCTGCTTGTTGTTGTGGCTGTTCCTGGCACTGTCCACTGCAGTTATCCTTCCCGCACCTGTGGCACTGAACTTTAGCTTTCTCAGGCACCGCTGTTTCATCAAGAAACTGCACGGATCTCCTCCTGGATCTCCCACCGGTTTCACTGTCATTGCTCCGCGACGAGCACTCAGTTCTCAGTCCTGATTCCCGCTCCTCTTTGAGGTTTTCCCTGTCTTGGCCACCTTTCCTCAGCCTCTCCTTCCTCTGTTCCATCACTCGCTGTATGTTCTTCGGGCTCTCGCTCCGAGGCGAAACTTTCTGCATTGTCGTCTCGACAAATCCATTCTCGCTGCAAGGTAGTGGCGGAACTGAAACTGGATTTTGGATCACCACCTTCGAACATCTACTCGTCGGGCTCCGGCACTGGGTTGCGCTATCAGGCGTGGGACTGTCGAACTGAGTTTCCAGACTGCCAAACTTCTGGGCAATATTCGACTCGCTGCTGGAGCGCATCCGGCAAGTGAGAAGATGGCGAATCCGACTGTCATGCGTAAGCTGCACCGCAAGTTGGCCATCGTCAGTCTTATGGAACATGTTGGCACCAGCAACAAGTAAAAGCTTGATAACGCCCCTGCTCGACAAAAGTTCATGAAACTTGCAAGCACGCAAGAAATAAATGTTACCGGTGGCCTCCTGCTGCAGCGTGGTGGAGAGCGGTTCCTTTGCTTCTATCTTCGTAGTTTATGTCGGCACCAGCTGCCAGGAGCATTCGCACAATTTTCTCGTTCCCAATTGCGGCAGCAAGGATCAAGGGACTAACCTGTGAAGGAAAAGCTGGCCTTGTAACCATCAGCAGCGATCAGATATTCTTAAAGAATTAATATTCAACCTTGCAGCGAATATCTCACCTTTGAATTCGCACTATCGTCTGGACTGGCTCCCTGCCGGAGGTAGTAAGCGACCATATCGGGCTGCTGGGACGTAACAGCTTCTTCCAAAGATGAAGGAACTTCTGTGCAAAGAAGAAACCCATTGCTTCGAAGATTTCAAAATAGAGAGTGCTACCTTCAAATGGCCGTTCTATGTCTGGGATCACAATGTCCTTATGAGGCCTGTTTGCCGCGTTTTGTTTGGAGTCCTCTTGTATCACGCTGGCTTTCGGAGGAAAACTATGTCTTCTTGTAAGCCGCGGGGATTCCATCTCTTGTGTTGGCGAACCAGATAACGGTCCTGGCTGCTCAAAACCAAGTTATACCTCGACAGAAGAAGAAAGGAAACGTTGGTACCATGACAGCTTTTGGATCGTTGAAGGCCTGCTCGATTCCACTTCCCGGAGGTGTCGCTGGAGAAGACTTGGTGCTTGCTGGCGAAGGAGTAGAAGATTTAGAGGAGCTGCTGCTGTCACTGGAACGGTGCCAGGGGCCAAAGAACGGACTCGGAGACGGGGAGCTTGGAGTTCGAGGAAGAAAAACTCGGAGCTGCTTGTTTCGAAGAGGAGGGCGAGCTCCGGAGGCATCCAACGCGTGGTCCGCCACCTCCTCCTCGAGGCAGCTCGGGTTCAACACTGGCGGGCTTGGCCGAGAACTGGAGATTCGAATCCCGCCTACTGGAGTAGTGAAAACATACTCATGGACTTTCCCATCGTCTTCTTGGGACTTCGCGCTACTGTTCCCCGAGGAACTCATCTCCTTGGCAGTCTAAGTGATCATCAAGAGTAGCCTGTGAAAGGTAATCGCAGTGAAAAGAAAGCAAAGAAAGACAACGTTCTCAAAGTGTTTACCTCTTGAAAAGGCGCTCACAACGCTAATGCAGAGAGGACTACACGCACACGCACACGCGCACGCGCGCCAAGTTCTCTCCGTCGACGTCACCTGACGGGTTTCATGTGAAAGACCGGTGGCCGTTGGCTACCAGGAGTGCTTTCCAAGATGGAATCACACAAAATCAACGGCAAAAGAGATTGAAACCGGGATACCATCCGTTACGAAAAAACAAAACGAAAACTGGTAACTGAACAAAGAAGATAGAATAAACAAGAAGAAAAAAAAGGATAGGATACATACATTCTATGTGGTTGACGATACCAGCCTGCATCTAATGATACCAGCAGCTCCACCGTAACACACCCAGCCAGCGCTGCTCTTGTTCGGGTTCCACTTGACCCTGTGAACTGCCACAAGCTTTGAAGGCATCTCTTCCACCGTGTTTGGAGGTTGCACGGCTTTACCGCTGGTATCCAAGGCACTATCTAAAATCTCTTCCTTGCAAACCAACGCTCCTGCCTGTCCTGCTACTCCAGCCGGTGTTTGAGGTTCTTCCAAGTCCATTGGCCCGGGAAATCCTTCGGTTTCTTCCACGTTTACCACCGGACTGTCGGCACTGGGAGCGTTTTTTTTCCTGCCCCTCTTTCCCTTTTTCTTGTTTGGGCTGTCTGCCGTAGGTGGTAAAAGACCTGCAGCTATGCTGCTTGCTCTCATTTCCTGGTTGACACTAACGGTAAATCCCCGTTTGGACCTCGGTGTGAAGCTCCATTCCGTGAGTGACCTTTTCATTTGAACGGGCCCCTGGAAATCCTGAGAAACTATGACTAATGCCTTCTTCTCCCTGTTCACTGCGAAGGCACCACATAGGTAGTGAGGTTCCCTGTAGCGTGTACCTCCTTTCTCTATTGCTTTTTCACTTAGCTGTAAGCAGACAAAGTAAATCTGTGTGTGAAATTTAGAAAAGAATAGCTACCTCAAAGTGAATAACCGATCCATCAGCACTGCAATATGCTACAAAGCCTGCATATCTCAAAATAAGAAATATAAAAAACGTAACCATAAAACATACCTGTATTCCGGCACACTTGAATGTTCCAAATTGCAAAAGAGGAGCAGTAGTAAGATTGCACCCCTTGAGCTTGAGTCCCTGTGAAAGGCTTCCCTGTAACAGGTGTATCAGACAGAGCGTTGTTTAAACTGATGGTCCGCAGCGTCCCATCGTCCAAGGTCACCAAGATACATCTGAAAACTTTGCATGTTAGCATGCTTCTCAACAGTAGGAAAATACTACCTTGGCACTTCAAGCCAATCCATGCATAAAATCTGTCCTCTAGACAGTCTCAGTTCCCACAACGGCCGAAAAGGATCCCTACAGAAATTAAAAAGAGCTCAAAACAAATCAAAGCGAGGAAACATTACCTTAGATCCCAAAACTTCAAGTGACCGCTGTGGCCACCGGTCGCAACTATGTGTTCCCCCTCGATACCACTGTTCAAAAGCTTGTCAGATGAATATAAAAGCAGTAACAAATACCTGTTAGAAGGTGCCCACGCTATGGTACGCAAAGCAAAACTATCCGCTATGAAAAACAATAGAGGCCGAGTTTCTGCAATCCCCTACTGTTAATAACATCCTAAATGTAGCAAAATACTCACCCTCGTTGGCGTTAGTAGGAGTGAATTTCCAGAGTGCAACCTGTAAACGGTGTAAGTAAAAAGACTAAAATCGCATGGCGAATTACCGTCCCGTCGTGGCAACCGGCGAGGAGCAAGTCATGTGGAGACGAGGTTGACCACTCAAGAGTCAGCGGAATACTGCAAAAAGATAAATCAGTGGCGTTTGTAGATTATCGTCACATCCACTTACAATACCTCTTTTGACCACCGCTTCTCAGCTCCGAGCATTTGAATACCGGCGCCATGGAAACGACCATAGGAACACCCTTGGAATCCAAAGTCTCAAATACCTTCGGCAATGGCACGTCAAACCTGAGATCACGCGTTAGAAAGTTTCGCAGATGAGATAGCCAACAAGCACTTACACTTGCAACGACCCGTCACCTAGTGCTAGCGCAAGAAAACCAAGGCGTAGAAATTCCCGATCTTGATAGTTGGCAACGGCATTCCTTCCTTCCGCTGGTTGCCACTTTGCATCCCACGTAACTCCACCTTCGTGTGCTATAGCTAGAGCCATCTTTGGAAGTTCCAGATCTCTTGACCGCCGTCCTGGTCGTTTTGTTCTGGCACTGTCTTTCATTCTGGAGAGTCCCTTGGGAGTTGCCCCCCTGCCACCTCTTCCCCTTCCACGCCTCCCTCTCCCTCTCCCTCTCCCTCTCCCTCTGCCCCTTCCACCGTCACCTTCGTAAACCACTTCCACATCCATTTCTTCCGTCTCCTCGAGTTGATGTTCTGGCTGCGCGTGAGCACCGACCGGATCGGCTTCTGTGCCATCGCTGTCTTGTGTTCCATCGTTAGAAAGTTCGTCGGCTTCCGCTGTGAAGCTGTAGGCCCAAACCTGAACCAAGGCCTTTCCAGACAAAGGCTCACCGAGTTTGTGATATTCTGACAATGGCTGTCCAAACCTCCTGGGAGTCAATGATGCAGGGTGGGCTCCAACAGCCAAATACTGCAGAAAAACACTAAGGTAACGAAGTCCAACACAAATGAAAGGATCAGACCTCTTTCTCACAACCATCTTGCAAGATCTTCCAACCTGGCCGCTGCGGACACCAGTCTAAGCACCAGACAGAACCTCCGACGTGCGAAACAAACTCGTCAGTATTCTCGACGCCAGGCTTCTACACAACAGAACAACAAATAAGTCCTTGCAAACTTGATCAAAAGAAGAAACATACTTTTGGAGTCAGCGCCGAAGCAAAGAGAGGAAGTTGAAACTCATCCGAGTTTGTGGCTCCATCTTCGGAGTTAAAATCAACCTTCGGCGAAAAACTGGCATACTTGCAATCGGATTGCCAAAACCTGGTGAAAAAAACACTTAGAACAACACTGAAACATCGTAGCAAAGGAGAGAACGAGACTCACTCGGACACTTGAATTTCGGACGTCCATTGTCTCGCAACTTCCTCCAGTTCCTCCCTGATTTGCTTGAAAGACTCGTCCTCCTCCGGATTCTCCAAGCCAGAGTCTCGCCTCCTCCTAGCACTCTTTCCCAAATTTCCCCACGCCCGCCCGCCCTGTGGCCTCTCTCGAGCCCCCTCCGCGGCCCTCTTTCCTCTTCCTCGCGATAAATCCTGGCTAAGCGCGCCTTCGATATTCCATCCGGAATCCGGCTCCGTCCTGTGAGCTACCAGCTGCATTGCGAGGCCTGGCGATTCCAGGGCCGCGGGGCTCGCCCCAGCTCCAGACGTGGTAGCGTAGATCGATCCGTCGGGCCTTACCGCCTCGATGTCGAGAGCATCCATCCCGGTGCTCTCGAAGGCGTGAATTTCCTCCATCTCCAAAAACACCCTAACCCTAAATTTTAAAGGAATCTAGGGCTTTTCGTGGCCTGGCGATGGCGTCGCTGAGAAATGCCGTGAGGCGCCGCGAGCACAAGGAGCGATCGCAGCCGTGAGTGAGCTCATTTCTCACAGGGATTTTCCGACCAAAACAAGTTCTTGCAGGAGCGAGCGAGCGCGATTTGGATTGCTCGAGAAGCACAAGGATTATGTGCTTCGCGCAAAGGATTTCCACAGGAAGGAGAAGACGATACAAGTAAGGAAGTTTCTTCTCGTTAGAGGTATGACAGGAATTTCTTCTCTACTGTATAACAGACATTGCAAGAGAAAGCCTTGACTAAAAATCCGGATGAGTTCTACCATCGAATGATCAGCACTAAAACCGTGAATGGAGTCCACAGGCCCAAGAGCTTGGCAAAGCAGTACACGCAAGAAGAGCTCCTACTCATGAAGACACAGGATGTTAAATACATTCTATGCAAAGCACAGTCCGAACAGAAGGTAAAAACTAACCAAGCTCACTCTTCCAAGCCTCAAAATCTCTTTTTTGTGACTCCAGAAAGTGGATAGATTGCAAGCAGTGTTGCACGGCCTAGACAAAGCTCGAGAGAATCAACACTCTTATTTTGCTGAGAACGGGTAACGGTACTTTCTCTATTGTTCGAGTGTGAGATCGATCTTTGGTTTTACAGCGACGAGGTGAATGAGATGCGAGGCAATCTAACAAACGGCGAAGCTCCTTCGAGCAGCAGCGATTTACCTCTAGAAGTGAACAGGTAATCAATGATGTTCATCGCAAACAAAACCCCGTTTTGGACTGGAGATTGAGATTGCTTTCTTTACAGGGATCGTGAAGCTGCGTACAACGAGCTCGCTCAACGAAAGGAGCGATTGGAGAAGCTCAAGAGCATGGTGATAACAATGTCCATGCAAAAGGAAATCATGGTCCGATCTTTCCTTGCCATCAATACGATCTCGTGAAATCTTTTGGTGTTCCATCGCAGGGAAAGGGAAGGAAGAGGAAGATGAAGAGTGACGAACTCGTCACACCAAGCAGTATGCCCGTTTTTAAGTGGAGGAACGAGCGAAAAAAGTAACCAATTAACATACGACCAGCACTTAGGAGGTAAAGTTCATCACTCTTGTCTATCGAATCGCCATAGATTCGAGATTTTTTTTGTTGTCCAAATAGAAGAGCGCCATTCAATCCCGCCCCCTAGATTCCTGGAAAGATCAAGTATAACATTTGATTCTATAGTGTCAATCGGAAGTCGCAATCAAGCCAAATCTTATCCAATCCCAGCTGCCCGCGTGGGCAAATCTCCCACATTGTTGTTCACAGCTAAGCCACGCGGCGCAAGGTGGCCATCCCTCGCCTTTCTCACGTGGCTTGTATAACCTGGGGTTCGCGGTTGCTTCCGGGGGGACACGCGTCACAAGCCCATGTCTCCTGGCCATCGATGCGTGCCACGTCCCGTCAGAGATTGCCGAGCGGCGTGACATCTGGCGCATCGAGTGTCACAGTTGGGCGTTCCGCCGTGTCCGTACGAAGATCAAGTGACACGGATAACATCCACAGTGGAGAATCCCGGCAATCTATAAAAGACGATCGCGGCTGTTAGGGAGACCATTGTCCAAAAGCATTGGAAGGAATTCACACTCGAGGCACACGCGATCGTATTCAATCACAGGGGAAGTAGTAGTCAATCGAATCGATTCATCCAGGTGCTCTGTTCTTGGGGGTCTTGATTTTGCTAGAGCTGTTCTAGATCCAGCATTGGGCGCGTTCTACAATGGGCAGGATAGTGCGATCACCCATGGCAGCGGGGAAGAGATACAAGGGAGTTAGGATGAGGAGCTGGGGGAAATGGGTCACAGAGATCAGGGAGCCCAAGAAGCGATCGCGCATTTGGCTGGGATCATACGCCACAGCGGAGGTCGCCGCCAGGGCCTACGACGCCGCGCTCATGTGTCTGCGTGGCCCCTCGGCCCAATTCAATTTCCCAGACGCTGTTCCAGCGGATCTTCCATACAATCCACAATGCTCCCCGGCGTTCGTCCAGAAGGCGGCGGCGGCGGCAGCGGCCCAAGCGGCGGCGGCGCTGGGATCCAGCAGCAGCTCCTCGGATCACGAGGAAGTCTCCAATTCCTCCTCGTCGGTCCCTTCCTTCGAGACGTGCTCGCCCTCCACCTCGTCCTGCGGGAACGTTTCCTCCTCTTTCTCCTCCGACGAGGAGGTGAGCAACGCAAAGGAGGAACAGGAAAGCGCGAAATTGGGGATCCAGCAGCAGGGGTCACTCGCATTCGACGATCTCAAGGCGATTCTCGAGTTCCCGGTGAATCTCTCGGAGCTGGATGGAGCAATCTTCCAGGGATTGAACGAGGAGAGTGGATTGCTGCTCCAGGGGACTAACACCGGCGTTAATCTGGACGATGGGTTGTGGATTTGGCAGTAGAGCACGTATCGATCGGTTTCTTCTTCGCTTTTGCATCTTCGTCTTTTTGATCGCGAGACAAATGTACATTTTAGATACGATTTAGTGTCCACCAATTTGTGGCGAATTATATAAACTTTCCTAAATTTCGGATTAGCACTAAGCTGTCAAACGGTCTAATGCGTTCCACGTGGGCGCCGCGCCGAGGGGACGGGTGGCGCTCTGTTGTGGCGAAATCTGGACCCTCGGTTTGCCAATTCTTACATCCTACTGTAGCCGCCGGATGTGATGATAGCTATGGCACCTTGAAAGGAAAATTTCTCTTCCTTGCAGGAAACACGGCGCGCGGTTGTGTGAATTTCTCGAATTCTGGGCATGCGCAGCTAAGGGGGATCGGAAGAATCGTCTCGTCTGTGCGTTCGTCTCCTCGGTTGATCGGCGCGATTGCTAATTGCTATGGCGGATCGTCCGGGCAGCCCCGACAACAGCTCCGATGAATCGGGCGGAGGGGGCAATTTGAGCTCGCTGTCGCCGCGCGAGCAGGATCGCTTCCTCCCCATCGCCAATGTGAGCCGGATCATGAAGCGCGGGCTGCCCGGCAACGCCAAGATCTCCAAGGACGCCAAGGAGACGGTCCAGGAGTGCGTGTCGGAGTTCATCAGCTTCGTCACGGGCGAGGCGTCGGACAAGTGCCAGCGCGAGAAGCGCAAGACGATCAATGGGGATGATCTGCTGTGGGCGATGAGCACGCTGGGATTCGAGGACTACGTGGAGCCGCTCAGGGTTTACCTCCACAAGTACCGCGAGCAGGAGGGCGAGAAGGCAATGCTGGCCAAGGCGGGCGAGCGCGAGGCTCACGCCGATCCGGCGCCACTGCCGCGAGCGATGATCATGTCTGGCTATGGATTCCACCACCGCTGATCAAAGACAAGCGATCGATGGGATTTCCAGTTCCTTTCTCCTTAGTAGTAGGAGAAATTGACACCACGCTGAGCTTGTAATCTCTTCCTAGAACTAACAGCAAATCCTTCCTTCCACTTCTTCCTCTTTGTCGATGTTCTCCCAGTCACTGTTGGGATGGTCAATCAAAATCCCTCCACTTTGGCCGATCGATCGAGCGGTGGTCACTGTAAAATGGGGCGTGCCAATTCGAAAGTGGAGAATCTGGTGAATCATCAGCGTTGGAATCTTGTCCTTCTCTCCCCGTCTGTCATCCACGCGTCTCGTCCACAAGAGCGTTTTAGGTGAAACAGGAAGGGAAATAAAAGAAAATGTTCTCCACAGGATTAGGGTTCTTCACTCCCATCGCGAGGATCTATTGCGCCACAGGCGAGGCGCGCTACAAGACAATGGCGATGGCGTCACAGCAGCATCACTTTGGCGCCCAGCCATATTCACGAGGTATCAAAAGATTCTCTTCTTCGCATTGATGGCGCCAGCGACGATGCGCCTCTGGAGCAGGACCCAATCCGAGGCCTCTTGTTAAACACCATCCTGTTTCAATCCGAGCTCCCGGAGTTTGTTTCTAGCGGGAGCAACTGCGAAACGATGCCTTCGATTCTTGATGAAGCAGAACTTTTCGGGGTTCTTCACGGCCACTCCAGTGATGCTCAGCTTGATCTTCACGGTGCTCTACGTGCCGGCATTCGAGGACCTCTCTTTCGATGAGCAAGCTTTCCGCGAGTTAACGCCGCACGCAGTGTTCCAGATCTTCATGTTTAGCGTCTCGCTCTGTACGGGACTAGAACCCGAGGTCTCGCCCATCTCTCCGTACACTATGGTTTTCGCCAACGTCAATGCTCTCTTGGCACAGCTCTTGTTCGCCTTTCTCAGTGGCGCTGGTAAGACTGCTATTCCTTTTTTTTTTCTTTTCTCCTCTGATTACTTGCAGTGTTTTCACGAACCTCGCAACCATCGCGGCCGATATGATGCTCGTCGATGGCGATCATATCTCGAGAAAGATCAATCTTTCAGGTCAGTGAATTGTTTTGCTTGATTCTTCCACGAAAGAAATTTGATTGACTTTGTCGGGCTGGCGAATTCTATCGCAGAGTGCTCATGGGACCACAACCGTGCGAACTGGTTGATCTCAAGGTTGAGCTCACCTTGAAATACACTTTGCTATCAAAGTCGGGGAAATACTTTTGGGGAATGGAACCTCTCAAGCTCGTAAGACGCTCCCGACAACCTTGAGCTTGAAGTGTTACTTACATTGATCTTTGTGCTGGTCAGGTTCGCAAGGGATACTTTTATCTCAAATATGGAATGCTTGTGAAGCATGTAATAGACGAGAAGAGCCCACTCTACCAGCGATCTCCGGAGATGCTGATCAAAGAAGACGCGATCATCTCCCTCGGAGTGGTAAGCTCGTGTTTGTTTACGCATCATCGCAATTCTAATTTCTGTTTCTTCTGGTCTCGAAAGGTTTCCTCCTCATTAACAAGAACACGAGCGTTTACATTGTCGATCAGACAATAGGTTTTGAGTGGAAAATTTTCTAGGATCGTGCGTCATCTTTTTCTTCGTTGGAGTCCCAGCCTCAATCAAACTGGAAGTTCTCACCGATTACAAGGTATCAGTAAGTTTGAATATCCTTACCAGCAAATTCCTAGAACTTTTATCCCACCATCTCGATGGCCACTGCAGTTGGAAAGTGGAGAATCTGGTGAATCATCATCGATGGAATCTTCCCTCCCCTTCTCTCCTCCACGCGTCTCGTCCACAAGAGCTTTTAGGCAGCGAGGATGGATGGACAGAAGAGAAATACGAGAAAATGCTGTCCACAGGATTAGGGTTCTTCACTCCCATCGCGAGGATCCATTGCGCCAGGGCGCCGCCGACGAGGCGCGCTAGGAGAAAATGGCGATGGCGTCACAAGATCGTCACTTTCGCGCCCAGCCAGATTCACGAGGTATCAAAAGATTCTCCTCCTCGCATTGGCGATGGCGATGGCGATGGCGATGGCGCCGGCGACGATGCGCCTCTGGAGCTGGAGCTCACGCAATCCGAGCTCCCGGATATTGTTTCTAGCGGGAGCTACCAGGTCTTGCAAGACGATGCCTCCATCGTCTCGGATTTCTACACATTCTTGGTGAAGCAGGACTTTTCGGGGTTCTTCACGGCCATGGTTGCGGCTCCAGTGATGCTCAGCTTGATCTTCACGGTGCTCTACGTGCCGGCATTCCGGGACCTCTCTTACGAGGATCACGCTTTCCGGGAGTTAACGCCGCTCGCGCTGTTCCAGATCTTCATGTTTAGCGTCTCGCTCTGTACGGGACTAGAACCCGAGGTCTCGCCCATCTCTCCGTACACAATGGTTCTCGCCAACGTCAATGCTCTCTTGGCACAGCTCTTGTTCGCCTTTCTCAGTGGCGCTGGTAAGACTACTATTTCCTTTTCTTCTTTCGTGACTCCTCTTGATTACTTGCAGTGTTTTCGCGACTCTCGCAACCATCGCGGCCGATAAAATGCTCGTCGATGGCGATCATATCTCGAGAAAGATCAAACTCTTCACGATCTTTCAGGTGAGCGAGTGGTTTCGCTTGGTTCTTTTGCGAAAGATATGTCTGATTGGTTTTGTGGGTGGCGAATTCTAGCGCAGAGTGCTCATGGCTAGATTCGTTTTAACGGGACCGCAACCATGCGAACTGGTTGATGTGAAGGTTGAGCTGACCTTGAAATACACTGCTCTATCAAAGTCGGGGAAATACTTCCGAGGAATGGAACCCCTCAAGCTAGTAAGAAATACCCGACAACATTGAGCTTCAAACCAGATATTTACATTGTTCTTTGCACTTTTCAGGTTCGAAAGGGATGTTTTTATCTCAACTATGGAATGCTTGTGAGGCATGTAATAGACGAGAAGAGTCCACTCTACAATCGAACTCCGGAGATGCTGATCAAAGCAGACGCAGCCATCTCCCTTGGAGTGGTAAGCTTGTTTCTTTACGCATAAGCAATCCTAAGCATTCTGTTTTTGTTTTTCTCAGGTTGGTCTCGAAAGATCATCCATGCAACCGGTTTTCCACGTCCAGGAATACTGTGCACGCGAGGGACACATTGTCTGGGACGCGAAATTCAACGATATGATCCTCATTAACAAGAACAAGAGCGTACGCATAGTTGATCACTCTCGGCTAAGCTCGTGGACTAGACAATAGATTTTGCTACCGGGAAGTTCTCTGAGATAACTAGCATCTAAAGTTAGAGCCGAGAGGAAAAGTTTTCTATACCCGAGATCACGCTGAGTCTTCCTCGTCATCACCACTGTCGTCAGCGATGAGCTCGCGTCTCTTGTTTCCTCGGTCGAACAGATGAAGCCACCAGATCTTTTTCTTCCTTGGCTGCTCGAATTCCACACCTTCGAATTTCAGCTTGGAGTCAAAGTAGCGAGTGCCGTAAGCGCCGCCCAGCCCCCAGCCAAGTCCTACACCAACGCCGCAGCCTCCACCTAGGAAGATCAATAAAAAATCACTGATTCTCAGCGTGGAAGTTCCCGATCGTACCGATTCCAAGGCCGAGGGTTTGAATCGAAGCGCCTTGAATTGTCTAGTCAGAGGAAATCTGCGAAAACCGGCTCCATTCTTACCTCCAAATCCCCAGCCGATCCCAAAACCACATCCAATCCCAGCGCCTGGACGCACATTTCTCAGCTCCGGCGAAACTTTGCTCTAGAGCGCTTACCGAAACCAACGCCTACGCCGTTGAATGGAGTCACAACCATGGCTAGAACAACAAACCCTAATTCTCTATGGGAACAAAGCTTTATCCAACGGCTGGAATTGCGCTGGATCCAACGGCTGCCATTGCTATAAACCTCGATAGATATTTTCACTTATCTACGGTGGATGATGGCATTCCGTGTCGGAATGTACACCCTCGGTTCCCTTACTCGAAATCTCCCCGGGCGAAGCCCACGGCAACCAGGCGCTTGGTTCCTTGTTTGTCAATCCAATGGTAAGTGAATTCGCATTGCCGCTAGTTTGGTCGATTTGCAACTAGATTCCCCTATAGATCTCTTTGTAAGGTTGTAGAATGAGGGTTTAATCCATGGATTGGGGTTCTAGGGGAGCAGCAGACACACAATTGTGCTCTTCCAGCCGTACCCAAACAGGAGTAGTCGGACGTACATGGAATTCGACAGCGTGTATCAATCGATGGATGGTATGCGCTAGAAATATTTCTCCTCTCAAAGAAATCTTTGCTGAGCGATTGAGATTGTGAGAAATTTTCGAGCAGGGATTTGTGGGCTGTTTGAGAAGAGGCTCAAGGACAGCAATCCCACGGTCCGGAACCTCACGTACGACGTGAGCGAGCTCTACGAGTTCATCGATGCTCTGCCCGATCTCTCGGCACTAATGTAAGCTATCAATCGCGGAAATATTGCTTTTTTCATTGATCGATCGCTCCTTCGTGCTGTGTAGCTTCGACACCGACCTCCAGGCTTACGTTCCTTACGATCGATCGTGGATTAAGCTGCGCGTCTATCAGCATCTCAAGAAGTACGCGTCGCAAGGCCCGCGCAATGGATAGAAGGAGAAAATCGCGTCATCACTTTGATGATGATCTAGAAGAAGGAAGAATAGAGCAAGAACTTTGGTGTCTAGGCCAGAAGCTTAAATATTCTCTCCTTCCAGGCGAATAGGATTTAGGGATTTGTCTCTTTCGGGAAGGTGGGGCGGCAAGGGTGATCCATCGCGCGCTTGGCGATCGCAACGCAATGGTACGTCGATCGAAATGCGTAGCTCCTCCGGGCGCTGGATTGTGGGACGCGATTCGTACCCCAGCGCGAGCTCATCAATCTCGCTGTGGATTAGCCGAGAGCGATTTGTGTGATTGTCTCTTAAGTTTGTCTTTGTTTGTAGCAAAGTGGCAGGCACACGATCGTCTTGTACCAGCCGAGCGCCGCGCGAGGAAGCCGGACGTTTCTGGATTACGAGAGCGTCACGCAAGCCATGGATGGTGAGACGAGAAAAAAAAAGTGTTTTTGATCCAATCTTCCTTTTGGTTGCAGGGATTTGCGGCTTGTTCGAGAAGAAGCTCAAGGACATGAACCCCACGATACGAAACATCACGTACGAGGTCGCGGATTTGTATAGATTCATCGATGAGCTTCCGGACATGAGCGCTCTCGTGTAAGTTTCGTTCATCTTGTGGCGCTTTGACTTCTTGTCGTGATCATCCTTTAGAATAGATGTGATCGTAAGAAACCTTGGTTTCAACTTTCGCGTGAACTCTCTTTCTTTTCAACGATCGGTATGAAGTTTAAGTTTTCGCTGCATGGGTTTGTGCTCGCTACTGAGCTAAAGGACTTTCTTCCATGAACTTCTTTCATTTGCTTAATTTGATTTTCTCTTGCCCGAGCTGGTCTCTCTTTGACAATAGCTCAAGTTTACGTTTTCGCTGCACGAATTTGGGCTCGCTGCCGAGCCAAGGAACTTTCTCGTGTTTCCTAAGATTTCCTTTCTTTAAAAATGTTCTCTCTTATTGTTCCACCGTGACAATCTCTCCTTGTCCATGCAGATACGATACCGAGGTGAATGCCTACATCCCATACGACCGGCAATGGATTAAGCTGCGCGCCTTCCAACATCTCCGCAAGCTCGCCGGCCAAGCCGCCTAGCAAGTCGCTGCTGTGCGCGAGGACGCGCCTGTAAATAACAACATGATGGGGACATGGGCAGCATTTAGCAGCCAGGATTCGCTGTGACAAAACCACGAGCAGAGTATTTAAAACATCGATTCGAGTGAGAGCGAGCGAGGGGAAAGGAGTCTCAAGAAAAATAAGAGAGAGAAAGCCAAGTGTGTGTGGAGAGAGAGAGAGAGAGAGCTTATCAATAATTTGGAGAACTGGCAGGCCAAAAGAGATGTGATGTGAGTTCTTCCTCGAACTCGAGACGTCTCAACGTTTCTTGCGTGGTACATTGTCGGGATCACGCGATTAAATAAAGAGCCATCGCTCGCTCGCGCGCTCGCTCGCTATCTTCACCACCACCAACGCCAACAAGCGGGAGCCAACCGCTCACCTTCCGCCACGTGTCCGCCAGGCTGGCGCCGTGACGTGGCGAATTGACCAGCCCACCGCTGAATTTGGCAAATGGGGCGCTCGCCTGCGGCTTCCTAGATAAAGGTTGGATAAAGACCAATAATTCACACCTCCACTCACGCACCCTGGGATTCGAACCGTGAGCCTCAAGAAGGGTAAAGAAGAACATGGAGGCCATGACGGGAATAATCTAAAGCTGGTGCCAGCTACCCAGCGAATCGTGCCAAGGGTATATCCTTCCCGCCCCCACTCAAAAGAAAATTTGGCGGGATTTATATCAGTTCGGCAGGGCCGCTAAAATAAGTTCCAATATATCACTACTAGGTAGCGCGCGCACCAATAGGATGCTAGAATGCGTGGATTGGCGGAAGGCCAGTGTCCACCTCTCGTTGCCATGGACAAATAGTCGCCACGTCGGACTCCTAAAATTTCGGGGCTCGAACACGAGTGGATAAATATAAAATTTTACTTTTGGCAATCTGCAACCGTGGCAGAATTAGAGCCGCTAGATCTTTCCCATAATTAGATTTTTACTTTAGCGGTGCCCGATTAAAAACAGCCTTGTTAGAATAATATAAAAAAGTTAATTAACCCGGGAGCCCGCCCCTTTTTTCATAGCTTGGGGTTCCCTTCTTCTTTGCTTGGTATTCCACATTGAGACTATTAGGGGTTCTTCCTCCCAAGCTCGTGGCGATGGCGGCCACGATTCTTAGCGCCTTCCAGGTCGAGATCTTGATCCCGGTGGCGGCGCTCATTGGCATCCTGTTCGCGCTCTTCCAGTGGTACATCGTGTCGAGGGTTTCGGTCGGCGCCGCCACGCGCGTCAGCTCCAACAATGGCTACAACGACTCGCTGCTCAGCCACGAGGAGGACGGGGACGAGGGCGCCGAGGCCAAATGTGCCGAGATTCAGCAGGCCATCTCGGAAGGTGAGTGGGATTCGTTGTTGCAATGTTCTTGGCTCGCCTTCTTGGGATGTAATCTCCAAGAATATCTGGTCTTGCCTTCCAGATCTGTGGTGATCTTCCTGGGATCTATTGTTGTGACTAATTTTCCCTTTTTTTTTTTTTCTCGCAGGCGCCGAATCCTTTTTGTTCACCGAGTATGGCTACCTTGGCGTGTTTGTGGTCATCTTCTCGGCGTTCATCTTCGTCTTCTTGAGCTCGGTGGAAGGATTCAGCACCAAAAAGCTCCCTTGCAAGAGTGACCCCTCGCAGCTATGCGCCTCCGCGGTCGCCAATGCTGGCTTCAGCACCATTGCCTTCATCCTGGGCGCCCTCACCTCCACACTCTCCGGCTACCTGGGGATGAAGATCGCCACCTATGCCAACGCGAGGACCACCCTCGAGGCCAGGAAAGGCGTCAACAAGGCTTTCATCGTGGCATTCCGGTCGGGTTCGGTGATGGGTTTCTTACTCGCCGCTAATGGTTTGCTCGTCCTCTTCATTGCTATCATTCTCTTCAAGCTCTTCTATGGATCCGACTGGGAGGGCCTGTACGAGGCCATTGCCGGGTATGGTCTTGGAGGTTCCTCGGTGGCCCTCTTCGGTCGTGTTGGTGGCGGCATTTATACCAAGGCCGCTGATGTTGGTGCGGACCTGGTAGGAAAGGTGGAGCAGAACATTCCAGAGGACGATCCACGAAATCCTGCCGTAAGTTTTGACTCATTTGGTTTGTGCTCGGACTACTGTATTGATTGTTGCGCGTGTCTGGTTTTCAGGTGATTGCTGACAATGTTGGGGATAACGTGGGTGATATTGCGGGAATGGGAGCTGACCTGTTTGGATCTTTTGCGGAGTCGTCCTGTGCGGCGCTTGTCGTTTCATCCATCTCTTCGTTCGGACTCGACAGGGACTTCGTTGCCATGAGCTTTCCGCTGCTTATCAGTTCCTTTGGCATCGTTGTCTGCCTCATCACAACGTTGTTTGCCACTGACATTTTCGAGGTGAAGGGTGTCAAGGACATCGAGCCCTCTCTCAAGAAGCAGCTTATTATATCGACTGTCCTGATGACAGTCGCTATTTTCGTCGTGTGCTACATTGCATTGCCGGCTAAGTTCACCATCAACGTCGTTGGCCATGAACCAAAGATTGTCAAGTGGTGGTACGTATTTGAGCTTTTCTTCAGTGTCTTGGACTAAGATAGTTCTTTCACGTTGCAGGCAACTATTTTTCTGTGTTGGTTCTGGACTGTGGGCTGGTCTCATTATTGGTTTCGTCACAGAGTATTTTACTAGCAATGCATACAGGTAACTGATTGATTCTTGTGTACTTTCTGAATATAGTTTATTTCAGACCCGTCCAAGACGTTGCCGATTCCTGCAAGACTGGAGCTGCCACGAACATTATTTTTGGCCTGGCTCTGGGTTACAAGTCCGTGATTATTCCCGTTATCGCTATTGCGCTGGCTATCTTCCTCAGCTACACTCTCGCTGCTATGTATGGTATTGCTGTTGCGGCCCTTGGAATGCTGAGTACGATTGCCACTGGACTCGCAATCGATGCCTACGGTCCGATCAGTGACAATGCTGGAGGCATTGCCGAAATGGCAGGATTCCCTCACAGCATTCGTGAGAGAACCGATGCTCTGGATGCTGCAGGAAACACCACAGCTGCCATTGGCAAGGTTCGACAAGAAAAACTCCCCTTTTATTTCTCGCTTTCCTCTTTCTGATGCTGTTTCATTGTACAGGGATTTGCGATTGGTTCCGCGGCACTCGTCTCGCTTGCTCTCTTCGGTGCGTTCGTGAGCAGAGCTGGAATCGTAGCTGTGGACGTTATTTCTCCAAAGGAGTTTGTTGGACTGCTGTTCGGTGCCATGCTCCCGTACTGGTTCTCGGCGATGACAATGAAGAGCGTTGGAAAGGCAGCACTGGCTATGGTGGAGGAAGTCCGCTCTCAGTTCCAAAACATCCCAGGCCTCATGGAGGGGCGCGCCAAGCCCGACTACAAGTCGTGCGTCAAGATCTCAACCGATGCATCGATCAAGGAGATGATTCCCCCCGGTGCTCTCGTGATGGTCACTCCCCTCGTCGTGGGATGGTTCTTTGGACCCCAGACACTCTCGGGCCTTCTCGCCGGAGCTCTAGTCTCTGGAGTACAGGTACTACGCAACATTTTCTTTGGTAGTTTCCTTCTCTTTGTCTTACCTGCTTGGACGTTACCAGATCGCCATTTCGGCCTCCAACACCGGTGGAGCATGGGACAATGCGAAGAAGTACATTGAAGTAAGATAGCTGTTTGTATGGTACGTAAACTAGCCCTGAGCTTTGTATTTGTTTTGTTCCAGGCTGGAGCTTCTGAGCACGCAAAGCAACTCGGCCCGAAGGGCTCCGATGCTCATAAGGCTGCTGTGATTGGAGATACCGTTGGCGATCCCCTCAAGGATACCTCGGGGCCATCGCTAAACATCTTGATCAAGCTCATGGCCGTGGAGTCCCTGGTGTTTGCTCCATTCTTCGCTAGGCACGGTGGCTTCGTGTTCAAGTGGCTTGGATTGTGAGAAGGACGAAAGGCACGAAAGCTAGCATCATCTTCTCTATACTGAAAAGCCAACATTTTGCAGGGTACTAGGATATCTACGAAAAAAAGACCAAAAGACTACTACTATTGTTATGTTTAATAACTTATTCTTCACTTTAGTTCTTTGCTATTTGTAGTTTTAAGATAAAATCAAATTACATATCGGTTTTATTGTAAACTCTTTGGTTTTGTGTAAACTACAAACTTGATAACACAAACAATACCAAGAGAAACAATCAGAGGATAGGATCAAAATAATTCCTTCCTGGACTCGTCAAGTCCATCTTCGCTATCGAACAAACCCAAGCAAGCCACGCTCAAAACGAGCTCACCGATGGAAAGCCTGCCAGTCCAGCCCCGAGCGGCAATCCCACCGCCAAAGTAGAATGGAAGACGATCTTCACAACTCTGCTCCTGCTGAGAAGCTTGATGAAGAACTCGGTGAAGAAGTGCGTGCAAGCATGGACGAGGCACGAGAGCAGCCACACCACCATCCAGTTCCATCCCTGTCCGCCCAAGAGGTAGACGATCTCTTTCCCGACCACGCCGACACACGAGCCCCCAACCATGAAGATGGTCATCGGCATTGCGCGCTTCGTGGAGCTGAGCGTCTTCTTGCAGATGAAGAGCAGCAGCAGGCACAGCAGCACTCCGAGGATCGCTCCAGCGCTGCCTCTGGCGATGCAAAGCCAGTAGTTTGTGTTGCCCGTGATAGATCCGACGAAGTTATACCATGCCTTGAAAACGAAAACGAATGTTCAGGCGAAAGAAGAGAGGAAAACAAAAGCTCACGAACCTGTTTAGTAGCAGGAGCCGCAGAACACGAGTCTCTCAGCGTCGAGAACCACTCTGGAAGGTTTCTCCACACGCAGAAAGCCGTGAACGCGAACATGATGAGCAAGCCCGCGAGGAAGTAGTCGGACGTGGATCTCCGAAAGTCGGCACAGGCGGCGGCCATTTCGTCTCGTCCAGCCTTGGAGACGTTGAACTTGAGTGTGCTCTTGCTCACGTCCAGCGTCTCCTTGCCGATGTCGATCGATGCTTCTTGCATGTCCAGCTCTCGCTCCTTGAGCTTCAAGCCCCTCATCGCGCAGACGAGCTCCATCTCCTTGAGAGAGTTGCTTCGCCTTTGCTCCATCAGCGTCTCTTGAAAGATGGCGACGCTGCTACCAGTGGTAAACGCCACAAGCTCTTCCGTTCCCCCGGAGTCTTCCTCTTCCTCCACGAAGTACTCCATTTCCTCCACTTCATGGTACTGCTCTTGGGATTTCCCTTCCACGAATCCATCCTCCTCCACGATCGACTCTTTCTCCGGATCCGTGATCTCCGGTCTTGGAGCCCCTGATTGCTGGGAAACTCTTGTGAACTCCCGTCTTGATCGCTGGAAATCTTTCGAGCACCGACATTTGCCACCGTCCTTCGCTGTTACCTGAGAGCTCGATCTTTCTCTTTCCCGCTCTCTCTCACCAAAGATCCTGGCGCCGCTTCTCCGATCGCCGAGATCTTCCACACTGGAGCTCCGATCCCCGCGTTTCTCCTTCAAATCCGAGTAGCTAGTCGAGAAAGACTCGACCAGATCTTCTACTATGGACTCAGTCGTCTCCAGGGAGCTCACTTGGCACAGATGCCCTCGCGCTAAAACTCCCAGCAGCTCTGCCAGGAATTCCACCCCATCGTTGGCGCGGGACTGGAGAAAGAGAGAAAACGATCACAACCTGGAAGCAATACAATACCATTGTCTTACCACCGTGACCAGCCCTGCCATAGTCTTGCCCAGCGCGTCAATGACAGCGTTCTCGTCTGGATCGTCGCTCTCCACCGCCATCGCTCGCTACTCCGCTAGAACCCTAAATCTCAAAATAAAAGGAAAATATACGTTAGTGGGGATCCAAAATAAAAGGAAGATATACGTTAGTACTTCTACTTACCACCTATGGGAGGTTTAAAGATGGCAGTCAATTAATCGATCAAAGCGTTCAAAGCGAAAACGCTGCCATTTCGTGACAAGAATTCAATCCTCTCGTTTGTGCCGCATCGTCCACACAAAGTTCCGCCTCTCACAATCCTCAAACATGTTGATCCGCCACGGAACTTGCGCGATGATCTTGTCACGCACCACCGCGAAGCTCACCTGATCGCGCGGCGTGAACCTGTCCAGCTCGTTGAACCAGAGGCACGAGAAGAGATTGGTGAGCGGCGTGTGCTCCCTCAGCACAACGCAGCTCTCGGGGACGTCGCTCACCAGCGGCATCCTGGCGGCGCGATCATACGGAAGGAGCCCCTCGTGCGTACGGTAGAAGTCCATCTGGGCATCGAGCTTGGCCTTGCTGTGGTACCTCCGCTCCCGGATGATGGCCTCGGCCTCCTGGAACGCGTCCGCGCGCTCGAAATGGTTGGAGATGGCCATGGTGTCGTTGCTCCTCCACAGGAATCTCTCGAGGATCTGGATGGGATCCACCACCATCTGGAGCTTGGCGTCGATCCAGATGGAGAAGCGCGCGTTTGGGACAAGCCTGTGCAGTAGCATCTTTGGAATCTTGCCCTTGTATCGGTTGTCTCCCTCATATGCGTTGCTTCGTACGAGGATGGTCCGCCACGCCCCAGCTTGAGCTCCTTCGATCCGGAAAGATTCCAGCGTTTCGACGTCGACGAACATCGCGAAGCAAACCGTCCTGGCGCTGGTGCTGCTCAGCTTTTTGGGCTGCTTGAGCACGTCATAGTTGCCAAAGATTGCGGACGCCACCACGATTCCCCTGCATTCTCGGAGGTAATCCATGTCTGCCTCGTCCTGGATCTCGAATCCGGAGCCCTCTCTCCCTGGCTCCACTCCGGCCCTGGTGAATCCACACGGAACTTCCATCGACTCTTGGATCTTGAAGGATCTCTCTCGCTCTTCAAGGCTGAAACTTCCGCCAAATGGTGTGGAGTTTCGTGAGTCTGCACGGTGGAGATAAGCAAGCTTCGAGAGAATAAGTTCTGGGAAGATCCCTTGCGGGGGCAGTGCTTTCAGTGCTTGGTCTACTGGAAGATAGCAGACCTGACACTGCCCAAACCAACAGGGACTTTGGAATCTGAGGCAGGGATGGCCTTGGGGAAGCGGTGGATCCATGAAACTCGTGGGCGGGAGTAATCGAATAACTGGATGACTGCTAGAAAAGGCTATCATGCGTTTTATGACATCTCCATCGTTTATCAAACTCCATGACACCCACAATACAACCATCAAATTACAAATAACAAGAACAATAAAAGGTTTCCCCATTACTTTACCTATTTTCCAAATCATGTATTAAAGGTTGCACAATGAAGATTTTCCAGCTTACAAGTGGCACACATAAAATAGTTTGCCATATGTAACTTGTTTATAATAATTTGCTAGGCATTGTTGCACGCAATGGTTTTATGGAGTGCAATTTGTAAGTAAAAGATGCATACATTTGCCTTCCAAATAGAATATTCTTAATGCTTTTCCAAAATCTACTACGGCCATGATGCCATGCCCATCCCATGGGACAATGGGCCATCTCGGCGTTTAATAGACCCATCCCATGGAGCATAAAACCATCCACCAAAGCTGAATCTGCTAACTTCGATTTAAACTTGGACTTTGAGTGGGTTGTGTTATATAGTAGTGACTCAGCTCTTTGGAAGGCTGGTTTGCATGGGATTAGAGTATTTGTAGTCATTAACAAGAGCAGAAGACCTATTGCTACTACACAGCAAGCAAAGGCTCATATCATATGAGTTCTCACATTCCCACCCATAAAAAGGCTGAGGCAAAGAGTTAGTAGTTGGGACAAGGTTGGGAACTTCAGATATGATGTTGAAGTAATTACTCTTCCTTCTAATGTTGATGTTCTAGTGATGCATATCAATACAATGCAAACTCATCAAGTTCATGAAATTAGACTGTAGTAACCATGTCTCTTACTTCTTGTCCTTGCTGCAATACTAACCACAGATGAGCTAGTTTGTGATCCCCCAACTGCTTGATCCTCTATAGCTCTAGGTTGACAGACTTATTTGGGATGATCTATAAATTGGTTGCCACTATGCTGAATTTGCCTGTCAGCTGCTGTGTGGTCTTCTTCTCAGATTGAACAGACTCTTGGTCTTGCTGTTCTCAGCTCCCATTGTCAGGAATTGGAGTTCCAACATTTGGATCTGCTTCTCTAGCTCGCTTAAATGCGTGAGGATGCAAGTACACCCAGAGCACTCCCATCGCCAGGCCGAATTGTCATTGTAAGATGAAGAGTGGAAGAGGCCACCTTCCTTCCCTAACACCATAATCTCATGTCAAATTTCTGCTACACAACTACTTCAGGGCTCAAATGCAATCTATCACAGCATGCTCATGAATACTCTCACATAAAAACCATATAGTTTGAATAAAATAAAACTAGGTGAATATGGTTTAACCATACATGTATTTTACATATATGAGATCCGACTGATTTTCTTAAAGCATAGTTATGAAACTAGTTATAAATATATTTAATATATGATTTTAAAAATCAATCTAGTGGATAAAATATTATTATCTCAAGAAATATTCTAAAAATATAAATTGATGTGTGTTTTAATGTAGTTAATATATGATTCTCTCAATAATTATTCTGAAAATGAAATATAATTTTTTTTAATATAGATAATATTGTGGTGTATCATATGTAAACAAACTAGAATAAAATATGGTTTTAAATATAGATAACATATAATTCTTAAGCATTACTCTAGGATTAGAATATAATATAGTGTTCAATATAGATATTGTTGTGCTGTATTATTTGTAATACAAACTGGAAGACAATATAGATTTTAGTGTATGGAAAATGGTTCTTTCAAGATTAATCTGACATTAAAAAATAATATAGTTTTCAATCTAGATAGGGTTATGGTGTAATAAATTTAATACAGAACTAGAATATAATATCATTTTTAATGTTGATGATATTTAGTTCTTTCAATAATTTTTATAAAATTAAAAAACAATATACTTTTTGATGTAGATGAGATATAATTCTCTTAAGAACTATTAAATCATGAAATAAAATAAATTTTTTTAATAATTGCCTTGACATAGTAGATAGCAGCTAGCACATTTTAAAATTGAACACAAAAAATAATCTTGAAATTGAACAGAAAAATAAATTTAAACAGGGAGACAACAAAGAAGACAAAGCTAGTAATGAGGAGCTTTATATATGGTGCTCACTCCACCCATGCTGCTTTTGGTGCAATAGGCTATTTTTTTAGAAATTAAATATATTATTTAATTTATTCCCAAAAATGTAGCTCAACCATAGAAAAACCTTTGATGCTATAGTTTCAAGCTATAATAAAAATTATTTCTACTTGTTTAATCGTTTTGATGCTACTATACAATAAAAAACAATGTCTTCACTTTTTATTACAGTGATAAGAAAAGGTGGATCCAACTTAAAGTCTTAAGATACTTTGTTATGTCATTTCATACCATAGAGAAACCTTGATTTAGTCTTCTTTCCTCAAACTTTTGTAAGGTCTATTTTAGTAGGCTAGTACAATAGTGAATAGGTGTTTGCTTTGACCCAACATTATGGTCCTAAATCTTTGAACTATTGACAACACCCTCATTGATCCTTGAGCAAAGAATTCAAGCAAAGAATGTGGAGCTAAAAGAAAGAAGTCCTCACAGCACTTCACTGCTTGACAAAGCTCTATATTTCTTTGTAGCATTGGCAATAACACCATAGTGTGTGATAGATAGCTTCTCAGCTACTTCCTTCTCTATGGGCAACCTCTTGAGTTGTTTCAAATTTCACAAATCTCATCAACTTGATTGATTAGTTTATCATCAAATCATCCAAATAAGAAAGTTCTTGATGATTAAGATTTGCTGCTGATTGCTTTGTTCTAAAGCAGAGTGGTTTTCGTATTTATTAATTTGATCTGATGACTTAAATGTCAATATTTCTTAGTTTGATATTTTCTTAATAAAAATATTTAAAGTTCCTAAATAAATAAAAATTTCTTATATTAAAAAGAAAATACTATGAACAGTACTATGAGAATTCTATCAAAACTCTTATCACTTTTTTCTCCTTGTGAATGGCCTTTTCTTTCTCTCTTGTCTTCCTATACTAGAAGTGATTAATTTTGTTAATAAATAACTTTCTTTAGTTTATAGTTTAGTATAAAAATTTCTTAATTTTTAATTATATTTATAAGTGATTAAAAATATTTTTAGATTATAAAATAAGATGATTTGATAAGCATGAATGACATATCTGTGTTTGTTGAAATTCTATTTCATTGCATATGCTTTCACATATGCTATCTTTAGCTAGTCTGAAATTTAGCATTTATAAGTGAAAATAAATAAATTTTTATTTTTTAATTACCTTAAATTAACTTCAAATGCTAAAATTGCATTAGTTTCCATGTAATATTTAGCAACGTTTAAAGAGTTTATACTTTGACTTGAATTGATAGTAGCTCTCTTACATAACATACATATAACTTTGTTCTTTGTTGTATCACAACCATTACAAAGTATAGTAGTTGCTTCAGTAGAATTTTTTAAAGTGACCAAGCCTATATATATATAAATAAAAAGAAAAATATTAGTTATTACATTATTAAATATTTATATACCTTCAGATGTATGATCTAATAGAAAAAGGAAAACAAGATCTTGTAAAATTAAAAAAAGAAGAAACATCAAAACACAAATAAAACTTGAGTAATCCATATACTTTTTGTAAACAGAATAACTTAAATATTAAACAAGTTTCCTATTCCTTATCTGTTTATTTATAATAATGATACTAACACTAACACTTGGAATATTTACATAGAACATTGCAACTATCAAAACTATAATCTAGTTAGTAATAGTAATTTTTATTTTTAGTACAATTTTAAAAATTAAAATAAGACTAATAAATGGAAAGAAATTTAGGGTTTTGACTGGTGGTGTAGACACTATTAAGAGTTGCATGTTCTTTGCAATTGCAATTGCAATTGTGAGGCCTACATCATTGTAAATCAGCTTGTGTTCTTTAATGATTTCCTTTTGGTAACAACTGATTTTAACCATGCCAAAAAGGTCTTGAGTACATGGTTTCAATTATAAGTATCATGGGACATACATTTCACCTCTTAAGTTATATATCTCATGGTTCATAATCAAATAATTTGCTATACTTAACACTAACACTTGGTTGCCGTAATTGTTATAAATTTATAATAACTAAGAAGAAATCTCAATTCCACATTGAGTAGTTGAGTATCATATTAAAAATATTTAAAAATATTTAACCTCCAAACTTTTGTGTACTAATAGTGATTTATTGTTGTTAAAACATCTCTAATATACAAGTACTCTCTGGCATGTTTTCAATATAGACATCTTTAGGTGGCTCAAAATAGAGATAAATTAAACTAGAGTCCTAATGCTTAAATGGTCATAAAAATATATTAGCAATATGTTCCTATTAGTAGTATTTGTGAATGTTGATATAAGCCTTTGAACTAAAATATTGTGGTTGTATTGCATTTATATCTTCTTTTAAACTATTTGGAAAAATAGTAATTTCTAGCCTTGTATAAGTTTCAAGGATCCATGTAAACATGTAAATATCATCCCATAATCACATGCTTTATAACCATTCTAACTAATTCACTTCAGTAATAAGTAACACTAATTTCAAAATGAAGCACAAATACATTATAGCACCATAATATTCCCAATTACATTGTAATTCTTGATTTTGTGTGTGTCATTAGCATTAAATAAGTACTCCATACTCAGCAATAAATTTCAATGTAAGACTGTGTGTACTCTTTGGAATCCTGCTAGAAGCACAATATCTTACAGTTTAGTAGTTGTTGTTCATCACTCTTAGATGAGGCAAATAAAGATTAAAAAGAAATTAGATGAGGCAAATAAAGATTAAAAAGAAAAAAAAACTTTCACTTAGAACTTTAAAACATTTTAGTGTTCATTTCTCCATTTAAAGAAATAGTTCCCCTCTAGGATAAAAACCTATCATTAAGCAAATAATAGTTGCAGTCTGCAAGGAAAAAGTCAATTTAGGAAGCAAGACAGTCTAAAAGAGGAACATTTACCTTGTCAACTATGATGACAATGTTTTGCAACCTTTGATTGTAAACACCCTTGCCCTATAGATAATAGATGTGAGTTACAAACTTCTAAAGGTTTGCATCAGGAAGCCCTCAAACAACTTCATCAACATTGGCAATGGTGATTTGAACCTT